GCGGAAAGCAAAGGCCGCTCCTAATAACTGCAGCGAAGTTAGGCAGCTTTGCTTGGCGGTCGCTGATGATGAGGCTGGTGAGGTTGGGGGTTCAAGACTGTGGAACTCCTCCTCCCCCTCCCCCCCCCGGCCTCATTTCACCTCCTGCAAGAGGGATCGGGAGAAAAGCAGAGATGAAAGGTTCCAGGAACAGCGGCACCAAAGCAGTGATGGAAGAAGCATCTAATCCCTTGGAACCAAGGATGCGACTGTGCCGGTTTCCTTAAGAGCCCTCTCTCCCCCCACTCGCCCCAGTGTGCCTGCAGCGCTGAGCCAGCTGGTCTCCCTCTACCTGGGGAGGAGCCACGCCCTCTGGAAGGAGACTGCCATCATGGCCTGGCTGGAGGCCAATGTCCACCAGGTGCTGCGGGTGGTGGATGCCAAGGAACCTGTTCTGGAGGAGGCAGAACAAAAGTGAGTTGGGCGATTGCTGGGGCCTTTTCCCTGCTGGGTGACAACCCCCCCACCCCAATTGCTCTCGCTCGGGATGATCAACGCTGTCCCTTCTCCCACCGTAAGCCGAGTTTGTGTTTCATGGCCCCTGCAGAAGAGGGTGGAGAATTTGGGGGTGCTTTTGCTTCAGTGCTGCTGTGAGAGCAAGAGGTGGGCAAGAGGAAGCTGCTTGGAGGAGACTGTTGGAATCCTCTCCCTCTCCTCTCCCTCCCTCTCCGTCTCCCTCTCTCCCTGTGTAGGCGAAAGGCTAGATACCAAAACGCACCCAGGAACGTCTACCGCCACGTGATCCTCTCGGAGATCAGGGAAGCCACAGCAGCATTACCTCCGGTGAGGGATCCAATGCCGCTACTCATCTTTTGGCCTGTTTCTCTTTCTTGGCTGGAAGTGTTTCCATTCAAGCCAGCCATCCTCGGTCCTTGTGTCTGGCTTGGCTGACCCCCTTTTGGTCTTCCTTTGTGCTTTTCCTTCGGATTGTAAGCCCGACTTTCTCAGGGGTAGTAAAGATGCTTTATTCAACTACTCAGTGGATGAAGGCTGGACGATCGTGGCCACAACGACCCCTGACCTGTTGTTTTCCTCTCTCAAGGAAGTGACCTCCCAGCCCATCATGGGGTTTGATCCTCTGCCCCCCCTGGACTCGATTGTTTCATACACGAGGCCCGAAAGGTATTTCCTCCTCTCACTTGTGTTGTGCGTGTGGCAGTTCCAAGGCGCTGCTTGGCCTGGCCAGTCTGAGCAGGAGCGAGAGGCCCCCAAGGGAGACCCACTTTTCTCTGCCAACCTTTCAGCCACACGTCCCTCTTGTCCTTCCAGGGCGGCTCATCCAGCCAACGAAAGCACTTTATCCCTCTTTTTCCGCTCACTGCTGCCAAACTTCAACTTACAGGTAAGGTGCCCTTTTTAGCTGGTCCAGAGGCAATAGCAGGTGTGTCCAGAGCCCAGCTGGGGGTGGGCGGGGGTGGTGCCCCTCCGTGGGCCAGGGTGTGGGGTGAAGGGCAGCAGAGGCGGGACAATTGGGATGGGTCTAGAGCAGCTGCGGTGCACCGGCCGGGTGTTTGGGCCAGGGGTTTGGGGATCCATACTGCCCGCTGGTTTCTTTCTGGAGCCGTGAGTGGGCACAGATTGTCTGCTGTGGTTTTGCATTTGCCCCCGATAGTTGCCCAGAATCCCCTGGTGGGATGGGCGGCCATGGAAGTCACTTAGATAAAGCAAATCCAGCCATCGGGGGCAGGGAGGGAGGCTTCCGGAGGACTGACCTGGCTGGTGGTCTCCCTGCCCTCTGCCCCATCCCAGGGGGAAGTTCACGCCGGAGGAGAAGCTGAGCCGGGTGCCGGGCAGAACCTCAACCAGGGAGTGAACCGGCTGATGGCGGCCATGCGGGACATGCTGGCCAACATCCAGTTCCAGGAGCCCCCCCGAGATGACAACCCCGAGGGCGATGGGGGAGATTGGGACTGAATTCTGACTCCCCTCTCCCCACCCACAATAAACAGAAGAATATGGAATGGCCTCTGTGCTTTCCCTCTGCACGCACCTCTCCGTCTTCCCCTCTCAGCCTCCCCCCAATTTTCTTGGTTTTCCAGTTACTGTTCCAAACCTCCCTGGCTCTTTGGGGGAGAAACCTACAGATGCTTCTGTCATTCTCTTCTTTCCCAACAAGTAGTTGCACTGTGGAGGGAAACGGCCTTTCTCTTAGGAAAAGTTCAGGGGCAGCGTGGTTGGGCCCCACCTTGCCAACGCCGGCCTGATTGGGATGGTCAGAACTTTGTCCAAAGCTAAACAACCGTCTTGCCAAGAAATTCTCCCAGGGAGAAGTTGGGTGGGTGGGTGATGGGCATTAGTTGCAAAGGCAGCCGCAGTAGGAGGCAGGTTCCAGGCCCCTTGATGCTGTGGAAGACCCAGACCCAGACCCGGAGCAGCCGTCTCCCCAGAGGCTCTGGAGCGAGCCAAGGGGCACAGCAGCTGCTCCCCTTTGAGGTCCTCTGCCCCACGTCTTCCAGAGGCCTCATTGATAGCACTGACTCTCTTCTGGTGCCTTTCTGGCTCGGAGGCCAGAGTGAGCAACGGCTCCTCTTCTGCCTCCATTACAAGATGTCCCACCTGCCCACCCAACATGTCATCTCTTTTAGGCTGCAGAGATTACATCCCACCACTTTTTAATTAATAAAAGTTAGGAAAATATTTTTGTTAGGAAAATGTTTTTTAAAAAAATACTCTTGACACAACTGTGGTTGAACTTTTCAGTCTTGATACTTTGTGAGAGGGAGGAAGGGTGCTTGGCTGCCAGGCTACCCCGGCATGATGTTGTTCTGCACTGGTGGGGGCTGTCTGTGGAAGAGCCCCTCCCTCTTGTTTTCAAATGCTTGAGATCCGTTCAGCCTCTGATGTGGCCCCACAATATGTACACAGACATTTTTCCATCCGTCACATGCACACATACATCACACGCCCATATGCAGAGTTGTTTATAAACAGGGAAACCCAGACAGCCTGCAAAGCGGGAAAGGCGGCAACTGTTCCTGAGCTGGGCATGTGCCCGTTTCCAGTTCCTGGAACTGGGCCAGCCCAACCCACAAACCCCGAGACTCTGCTTAACTTGCCTGCCCTTCTGAGGGCCAAGTCAACCTTGCTCCGCCAGAGGCTGGGGCATTCAGAGCAGCAGCAGCAGCAGCAGAGCCAGAGAAACAGAGGAGGCCAGAGAGGAGGACGAGGAGGAGGTCTCTGGTTGTGCTTGGAAGCCAAATTGCAACTTCCACTGTAAAGTGATGGAGAAAGGGATTTTTGCTCTTCAATTGCTCCAGGGAGGCCCAAACACAGCAATTTCGGAGCTCATTTGCTGCCTTCCCTTTCAAAGACCAACTGCCCGCTGCTGGGTTCAGGCCAAAGACAACTGCCTGGAGCAACTGAAGCTTCACCTGCTGCTCCTTCCCTGCTCAACCTGTCAGATGGTACATGCCAGGAAGGTCACGTGTGTTCCTGGGTTCATTGACGAATCTCTCCCCAACTTTCCTTACCTAAAGCCTGTCCTCTTCAGAGCCCTTGCCCACTGATGCGGTCTTCATGACTCTGCAGCTTCCAGATTGCAGAAACTGCTGTGAGATGAAGAATAAGCAGACGGTGTGTTTCTTGGTCTCAATAAAGGGGGTGGCCTTCTGTTGCTCTGACCCCTCTCCCCTCCCACCAGTGGGCTAGGCAGTCTCCCCTTGTGCAGTTGTCCCCACCAGAGGCATCCCTCGGGATAGACCGGACTCTCTCCTAGGAATCCATGCCCACTAGCGTGATCTAGAGATTATGGTGCATGTGGACAGTCAGAAAAATGATCCCCTCCCTGCAGATCCAATCTCAGAAGAACATTAACTGCCAAGGGAGTGACTTGTCATAATAATAAACTCAGGAACATAGGCCTGGAAGTAGATGGCAGGAGAGGACAGCGGTTATTTCAGAGGGCAGAGTGTTCACCACAAGCACTGGGTTAAAAATAGGTGGGGATGGAATGAGAAAACTGGCTGTCTGGAAGCCTTTCACAAAGGCAAAGCTCTCAACATAAGGTGTGTATGTAGCTGGCATGCAGAAGAAAAGGCTGAACCGGTGAACACGGGTCTCCCATAGGAGGAGAAGGGCGCAGTCTGCTACGTAAGGGAATCCTGACCGTAACGGGAACCTCGCTGAAAGAAATCCAGCCAAGAGTCATTAGAAGAACAGCATGTCGGATACGGCTCATGCTGTGGCAGCTGGGCCAAGCCATCTCTGCTGCCACCCGTGACCCACATTCCTCTGCTCCCCCTTGCAAGCCCAGGTGACCACCCTCCTCTCTCGTTCCTGGTTTTCTGGAGCTTCATGGAGGACAGCCGTCCCCTCGTCAGCGTGCTTATGAAGGCCCCAGCTCATCCGGACCGTTTCATAATACCTCCCTGCCATTCAAAGTGCTCGCCGCCTGACTTGTTATCATGTGGATCACCCTCCAGCCTTTTGCCAAAGGAGGAGCTGAGTCTATTCCTTTAAAAGGAGGCGAAAGAAAGAGTTCTTTCTTTGCCGTTAAGTTTTGCTAATCAATTTTGGAGGCAGAGACAAATTCAGCAATTAGAACATTAGGAAGGAAGCCAGGGGAACTTTGACATGGATACAACACTGTCCAAGAAAGAAGCCAGAGGGATCGCTTTCCTGAGCTCCGTAGGCTGAAGAACAAAGGCGACCTGCAGAAACCAACGAGAAGAACAGTCAAGGGGCCAGAGCTCTGGGATCCCTGGAATAAGAGTCCCAGTGGAGAAGTCCTTCTGGGAGCCGGTGAAGCGTTGCTGGCTTTGCCATCTCAGCTGCTTTGTTGGAGAGCTGATCTCACAGAGCTGAGACTTTCTAGGAGGAAAGCCGCTGACGGAGGAACCTGCAGCCCACAGGTGAGTGTTTGGGGCAGCCAAAGATACTGGCACTCACCCTAAAACACTTCTGAAGAAGAAAAGCTCTTCCAAAATTGGTGGGGGCCACCTTTTATTTTTCATAAGCGGCCCCACAAAGCGTCCACGATGCCAGAGACGTCCCCCGTGAGGGTGCATTTGGACTTCCCCAACCGCACCGCTGATCTTCTTGTCAACTGGACCAATAAGACCTTCTGCACCAGCGAGCAGCAAGTGGTGATCCCCAGTGAACTCTTCTTGACTCTGGGAGCAATGAGCTTTGTGGAGAACCTGCTGGTGGTGGCTGCCATCGTCAAAAACCGGAACCTTCATTCCCCCATGTATTACTTCATCTGCTGCCTGGCTGTTTCAGACATGCTGGTGAGCGTCAGCAACCTGGTGGAGACCCTCTTCATGCTGCTCATAGAGCACGGGATGCTGCTCATAGAGCCCAGCCTAGTCAAGCAGGTGGACAACGTCATGGACATGCTGATCTGCAGCTCCTTGATGTCCTCGCTCTCCTTCCTGGGCGTCATCGCCATGGACCGCTACATCACCATCTTCTACGCCTTGCGCTATCACAGTATCATGACCATACAGCGGGCCGCCATCCTCATGGTGTCTGTGTGGCTGGTCAGCAGCGTCTCCAGCATCCTCTTCATTGTCTACGACAGCACTGCTGTCCTCATGTGCCTGGTGGCGTTCTTCCTGTCGGTGCTGAGCCTCATTGCAGGGCTCTACATCCACATGTTCGTGCTGGCACACCGGCACGCCAGGCAGATTTCAACCATGTATGGCAAGCAGCATGCACCCCAATTTACCAGTATGAAGGGGGCCATCACCCTCACCATCTTGCTGGGGGTCTTCTTGATATGTTGGGGACCCTTCTTCCTCCACCTCATCCTCATCCTCATCTGCCCCAGCCATCCTGCCTGCAAGTGCTACTTCCGTTACTTTAGCCTCTACCTCATTCTCATCATCTGCAATTCAGTGGTGGACCCCATAATTTACGCTTTCAGGAGCCAGGAGCTCAGGAGAACGTTGAAAGAGGTGGCCCTGTGTCTCTGGTGACAGAGAAGGAGAGGCTGGGTCCCTTAGGACACAGCGCAAACCTAAGGCGGTCACCCACACCCCAAAGTGGGTCCGGGTGCGCCATTAAGGGCAAGCAGGTGACTCCCTGTGACGCAGCACCGGAAATAGTGGAGATGAGATTGCTGCACTTTTGGTTTCTGACCGTTGGAAGAGCCCAGCGTCCTGCCTCTTCTCTCCCACTTGTAGCCAGCTGGGTGCTTATTGGATGGCCACAGGCTGGACTTGGAAAGAGTCGCCATTGCCGTAATCTGCCGTAATGGGTGTCTTGTGTCAGTGGCTGCCTCCTATTGTTGTTCCCAGCAAATACTCTCTTGCGATTCCCATGGGTTCTGCTTAGTTCCAACTGGCAGAGGACAAAGAACTAGCCCTCCCCCCTCCCCAAGTCAAATCCTGCTTTAAAACTGGGGGCACAAAGCCAGGGGGTCCCAGGGAAGGCAGCCCAGGATATTTCTCACCCTGGGCTGTGGGATCGTTTGCTGAGAGCCGGATTCATGCCTGCTTCTCTTCTGCAATCCTAGGTGAGTGATCAAGTCTGTAAGAGGCTGCACTAGAGAACTTGGAGATTAAGAAAATTATCCAGCAGCCACTCAATTCCATTTTTTCTCTTGGGCTGGATTTATACTTTACACTAGCAATTTGAATGCAAATACCTTTTTGTACAGATGGTTGTTGCTTTGTACTAAAAACTAAAGTTTGAATTTCAGGTGCCCCAGGATATTTTTTGACAGATCAATGCGCTTCCTTCCTTTAGGTTTTGCAGGTGCCTCTCTCCTTCCTCATCGGTGGCAGCTGCCCGCCCTTTAAGGATGAAAGGTGTCTGAATCAGATTGGGTGGCACGAAGGGCATCGGGGGAGGGAAGGCAAATGTCAATGAAGCATGATGGTCACAAGAGTTTGGGATCAAAGTGAGAATTGGGACCTCTGATCTGCATCACTCTTTGCAATATTAGCACATTTGTGTCAGTTGGGTGGATTTCAGTGTAAATTCGTTGCAAGCCCCTTATAGAGGTACCAATCTTTTTTAACATCATGTTTCTAAAAGGCAAATATCTAAAATCCTTCTTGGATCATTGACAAGGCTACTCGTGCAGACGTAAATCCACTCAGGAAGTTAGTCCTGAGAAATCCACCCTTGTGAAGTGGGGTGGGGTGGGGGTTGCTGATGGGGACAAGCAAGCTGCTCTCCAAGGGACAACAAAAGAAGCAGTTGGTCTGCCTGTGGCATGCCATGGATGGACTCAGCCACTGGATCCCAACTGAAGGGGCAGGGAATCTAAGCGGGTGGATTTCACCTGCGACTCTGCAGAGGGAATAAGGGCATTGGTGGGTGGATGGGATGAAAGTATGGATGGATGGATCCAGGGAATGAGGTCCATCTTCTACACACCCTTCGGGGTTCTATTTCTCCTACCCGAAATATAATTCTTGCAGGTTGTTCCTGTGTAGACAGGAGATAAAAGAGCTTGCAATTGTTGAGTAGGGGTTTGGGGGCGGGGTGGAATCTGGGTCCAAGAAAGAGCTGCCTTGCAGTTGCATAGAGTGGGTTTAGGAGGAACTGGGTGGTTGCTCCAGCTGAAGGCATCTGCACTAGGAGACTGACAAGGAGGAACATCAAATGGCTCTACCCAGGATGGTCAAAAAAGTGAAGATGGCAGCCACAAGAGAATGTCACACCTAAAAAAGGGTGGAGTTTCAATGACTCCGCCTTAGAACATGCCCTGTGGGCACCCCTGTTCATTGCCATCTGATGCCAGCGATCGTGCCACTCAAATTCTCAACTTTTTTCCAGTCCTTTCCACTTCTTTCCCCTCCTTCCTTCCTCCCACCTTCTAAGCCATGGCTGCCCTCCCATTTTACCAGGAACCGGGGGGGGGGCCGCTGGGGCGTCGAGATACAACTGAAGGGGAGATCCCTCCCCCCGCATTTTTTAGCCAGCCGGCCAGTGAGCGGGTCCGGGTGGGCGGCCAGGCGGGCCGGGAAGCAGATACAGAGCTTGGGGCCGTCCTAGCTGCCGGTCAGATCTCCAGAGTTCATCAAGATGCCGAGGAGGGTAGCGCGGGGTTCACGCCGGCCTCGGCGTTTGAGCTGCGGAGCTGGCCGGCGAGAGGCGTGGGAGGAGCACCCGCGGAAAGACCGGCCTTTCTGAGGCCTCCGGCTGGAATAGCGCCCGGTAGCAGCAGCGCCCGGAGCGTCCGCCGAGGCCGCCGGGCAAACGAGGGGAAGGGCGGCTCCCACAGCCTCATAGATCCTCAGGAGCGGCGAGGACGGGGTTTCTGCTCAGAGGGAGGGGGAGCGCAGCCCCTCCGGCCCGGCCCAAACGCCGCCTCCCCCGCCTCCTGAGCCGGGGTCGGGGTCGGCACGCCAGGCTTTGTTCCCCTCCCGCAGGGGAGCCGCGGTGCAGACACAAAGAAGAGGAGGGCCGTGTCCCCTCCCTCTGCCCCCCTCCGGAGAAGCGGGCGGGGGCTGGCTTCCCGGCCCTGCTTCTTTGGGATGCGGGCGCCTGAACAAAGGGCGGGAGCCGCCCAAGGTGGGCTGCGGCAGCTCGCTTACAGGCAAGCGGCCCTTTGTCCCCCGCCTCTCCGCCCCTCCCCCTTTTAAAGGCTGCTGTTCTTAGGACCAAAGCCCCGTCGCCCGGGCCTCCCTGCGCGCGCCGGCCTGGCCCCGGGGCTGGGAAGTGGTCGGCCGCGGGCCAAGCGCTGGAGTCACCCCGGAGGCAGCCTGTCGGCTCGGCTGCAGCTCACAAAAAGTGCATAATGAAAGCGAGTTGCAAACAAAACAAAGCGACCCTCCCCAGCCACAGGATGGAAACACCGGCCAGACACGAAGTTCAGTTGCAATCCCGACTTGTTCTCGCAACGAGGGGGGGAGGTGCGGGCCTGAAGCCCTCCGCACACGCTCAGAAGCGCTCCTCTCCAGCAGAGCCTCGCTGCGTAACACACATGGAGGAGGCGAAGCGCCCGATCCCGAGGGGCCAAATCCAGCGCCGCCTCTTCGCCTTCTGCAAACGCGCCTGGTCCTGATGCTGCAGCCGGTGCAGTATTTTGCAGCGGCGCCTCCGGATTGGCCGAGGCGTCCGCGGTGACGTCAGCGCCCAGCCAGGGTGCAGCAGACGCCCCTGATAAAACCCGCCGGCAGAGCCGGGCCGCCTCCTCCGATCGCTCCGCGCCCATCGCTCCTGCCGCTGCCCGTCGCCCTCCAGCCCGCCGTCGCCGCCGTCGCAGCAGCCCCGCCGCCGGTGCAGCATGAGAGAGATCGTGCACATCCAGGCGGGCCAGTGCGGCAACCAGATCGGAGCCAAGGTAAAGGGGGCGGGACCCGGGGGGGGGGTAAAGTGCGCAAGAGGCGCCTGCACCGCTCTCTGGCCCGGACCCGTTGTGCGTCAGGGCTTCCCTGGCTGCTTGTGGCCTGGCTTCCTGGGGGCGATGCCCGGGGGAGGGGGGCGTGAGCTGAAGGGCGGCCGAAGGAGGACTCCCCTCCCTCTGCCTCTCAAAGACAAAGCGGGGAGTGGTCTCATTCAGCAGCTGAAAGACCCCCGGATCCCCAGAACAAAGACGGTGCTGGACACCGTGACCTTGGCGAGGCCAGAGCTGAAGGGTACCTTGTCCCATCGGTTCCCGTCTCCCCTGCCACCACTTTCCCAGCAACCTCTCTGTCTCTCTCGCCCCTCCGATCTTCCGACGAGGGGCGTCTCCCTTTCTCTCCTTAGCCGGAATGAAGGCTGTTGGGCCACTTTGTCTTGCCTCTCAGTCCCCAGAGCTGGGAAGTGGGGAAGGAGAGTCCTTCAAGGATTTTCCCAGCTTGGCAGGCAGCGCTGACTGGAGGCAGGAACTCCCCTGAAGCCCCTTCCCACTCCCAAGACCCCGGGGCAGCAGGTGTCTGGACAGCAGACAAAGAGCTGGAGAGACCAATGGAAACCTACTGCCTGAAAGGACCAGCACTGCCAGGATAGACTTGGGGACAGGGTGGGCTGGTGGGAGGAAGGGGTTTCCTCGGAGCAGAGAGTGAATGGATCCCAAGAAGGCTCTGCCAAGAGAAGGCAGGGCAGCTGAGGCTTTGCAGAGGGTGAGACTCCAGCTGCCATGACTCAGTGCCACAAAGCTAGCTAATCATCCCTCCAGTCCCCTTCTCTACCCCCCCCCCCTTGTGCCTGCTTTGAATAAAAAGAAGGCCAACTCCCTGCAGTGAGACCTCACCACTTAAGGCTCTGCCTATCCCCGTGGGTGGAGGAGCACAGCAGCCTGAAATCAAATCACCCTCCAGAGCACTTTGGCAGCTGAGCCTGGGGGCCCTCCCACCCACCCTCCTTTGGGGAAGGACAGCCTGCCTTTCTCCTGGTGGAGAGGGGCCGCCCCACACAGCAGAGAGCCTCCATGAAGAATGAGCTCCCCCCTCCCCACCCCTAGGTTTGGTTTCTGACAAAGCAGCTCAAGTCTTCCAATGGGCTGTTCTGGGATATGGGGGGCTTTGTCCCAGCTCAGCAGCAAGGAAATCTTCCTCCACAACAAAGAAACCTTTTAAAAAGCAGCACTATTATTATGTACACGTTATTATTTTATATCACCACCTTCAGTGAGGGAGAAATATCTCATGGAATACCAGTCTTCAATCTGAGATCCTATCGAATTCTGAATTAAGCTTCACTGCAAACCAATTACATGGGATACCCTTTAAATTACCCAGGTTGCATAATCTTTATATCCCCTCCCCTCCATGAAATGCCCCAGGATGACAGGTAGCCTGTCATGAAAAGTGATGCTGGGGGGGGGGCAGGTTTTTCCCTGCATGGGCTATTTAAACCAGCCTCGTGCATATGCTAGTTATTTCATTTCATTTTATTTCATTTATTGGATTTATATACCGCCCTACTCCCGAAGGACTCAGGGCGGTGAACAGCCACAAAATAAAACACATAAATACAAAATTTAAAAACAGAATAAAACCGAATTAAACAATTTGGCAGAGACAAATTTAAAACACCCAATAATTTTAAAAGCAAATTAAATTTTACATTTTAAAGGGGAAAGATTTAGGCCAGGCCGGCTTGATGGAATAAAAAAGTCTTGAGAGCGCGATGGAAGGTGCGCAGATCCGGGATCCTCCGTATCTCCGGGGGGAGCTCATTCCAGATAGTAGTTATGATGAATAACCCATTGCAACCCACAGATCCTGTAAGTGAGAATTGGATCAATGCAGAACTGAGATTGCCCTTTCCATGTCCCCAGTCCACAGGAAGGAGATTTAAGAGGAGTTTTTGAGGGTCAGTTTTGACATATGGCCAGAGTTCCACATCAGTGCAGTCCCAGGACAGGAGTTTTGTTGCATGACACAGAAGTGGTTCTGATTTCCTCAAGGGCAACTAGTTCCACTTATTCCTATTATGCAACTGACTCTTCATTTAACTTATCTTACAACTCTATGAAGGCCACCCAGGTGCGCCAGGTTGAAATTGCATAAGAAGCTGCCATCAGCTGGCCATCTCAGCCTGCCTCCCTCACTTGGGCCTCAGCTGACACACCCGATCCCTCTGGGATATCTCCACCTGTGATCTAGGCTGAGCCGGGGGTTCAGCTGGGCTTCCACAGCCCAGATCAGACGCCATTTCTCTGCTAAGGCAGCAGGCCAGTTCACAAAAAGGCAGGTCCTCCACTCTAGCTGAGGTTCTCGGCTCCCTGGCTAAAGACAAAAGACAGTTTAAACAGTTCTGTCACTTAAAAAAAAAGACACTCTGTGGATCTGAAGTTTCCCATTCTTCTACAACGCTACGTCTACAGGGGATGCAGTCCTGTTGTGTAGACGCTCACACTGCTCCTGACCTTGCCGGTGAGGAAGGGCTCTCTAGCAATCGCAGCTCCATCTGCTGGGGATGCCTCCCTGATCCACAAACCACTTAAAGATGGTGTCATCTCCCCCACTTTGATCGTCCTCATTCCACAATGGAAGAGCAGAATCCTTAAATCAATAACAATTCCATCCAAAGAAGCTGTGGCTGTCACCTGTGGGAACTGCTGCTTAGCCCTTGTTTACAAGATGGAGCCTTTGTTCCAAGTGTTAGAAACCGGATCCTGTTGAGCTGTTGCCCTTCAAGGCTCTCTGGGGAACATGTGACGCTCTTGCTGCAGTCCGCATCCGACTGTTGATCCCAATGTATTTGCACCAATACCCAGAAGTCAAGTGCTTTATCTCTCAATTGGATTAGTCTGCAGAAATGGATCTGCTCTCCTGGATCTGATTTCAAGGGCAAGTGATTTCAAGTGTTCCTTTTTCAGCTTATTCTTGTAACCTAATTGGTTTTCGGACTGTGGCCAGATGTGCCTTTACAGTTAAGTACATTGAGAGCTAAGAGAAGCCCCATGGAAATTAAGCTTCCCTCTCTGGGAATGTGGCTGGGATGTGAGGACAACCCCTCCCCACCCCATGTATGCCAGGAGAAGGGGCCGTTTCAGCACCATGGTCAGGTCCCTTGACTAGCATACATGCCTCCTAGGAAAGGAGTCCTTGACTTGTCTGATTGGGCAAAATCTTCTGAGTTTTGTGGGGGAAAGGTTACCAATTGAATTTTTTGGCAAAAGGAGGACAGAAGAGAAACAACTTGGAATGTTTTTTCAAAGTATAACAGCAGAATAAATCATCTAGTAGTGCTCTGATTCCAATTCTTATTTGCTGAAGATATCAGAACCATGTGTCTCATTTTTTTTCTAATCTCTTGTTCTTTTCTCAGTTCTGGGAGGTGATCAGTGATGAGCATGGGATAGACCCCAGTGGGAACTATGTCGGGGACTCTGATCTGCAGCTGGAAAGGATCAGTGTGTACTACAATGAAGCCTCCTGTAAGCTCTCCTCCGTACCTAACCAGTGTTTTCTGACACCAAGAATTTCCCTCTGGTCCTTTCTTGGAAATTATCCAGACCAACCATCCCATTTGACACACAGGTCTTTCCCTCAGGCACTTTTAATGCTACCAGGGAGAAAATGAACTCTGAACAAAGATGGCCTCACAATCATTTTTATCTAGCCTGCACAGTGCTGGCATTGAGAACAAGGATGTGGCTCATGGGTTCCCAAACCTAGGAGGGAGGTCATTTGGCCATGCACCTTTTGAGCATAGCACTGTCAGTAGAAGGAGGCATAAAGGGGTGGTAAGAAGCATGAGATGTTTTGAGCCCTCGTGTGCAGGGTTTTTGATGCGACTTGGCAAAGGAGGTCATGCTGATTGTCTGCCAGCATGAAGCACACCTGGAGGGACCATGCTCTGTACTTTATAGATCACTCGGGAGTGGAGGGAGGAACTGCGCTGAATAAATGCAAGTGCCTGTTTGGTCAATGAACCATCTAAGTTAGTCCATTCAAGGGAAAACATTCTTTGTCTTTCCAGCTCACAAATATGTCCCCAGAGCCATCCTGGTGGACCTGGAACCTGGCACCATGGACAGTGTTCGCTCAGGCGCTTTTGGACACCTCTTCAGACCAGACAACTTCATCTTTGGTATTGTCCCTCTTTGTGCTCCTCTTGCCCAGATCTCCCTCCCTCCCTCCTTAACCTAGCACCAAGTTCTACACCCTGGAGATGGCACAGCTTCTCTTTCAGATTGGTGGAATTGCATCTGTGGGTCAGGAGGAATGGAAAGGCCCTGGTGGGGTTGGTGATTCTGAAGGGGAACCAGCTAGGCCAAAGGCAATGAGCTCCCATCCCAGACTAGGATTGTTCTTCAAGGCCTTCTTGGTTTCTGAGGCAGAATCAAGTATTTTTAGGCAAGGAAAAATGCAGGCTGGTTACCCATCAAACAGGTATCTCAATTCTTCCTTCACAGGTCAAAGTGGTGCAGGGAACAACTGGGCTAAGGGGCACTACACAGAAGGCGCCGAGCTGGTGGATTCCGTCCTGGATGTGGTGAGAAAGGAATGTGAAAACTGCGACTGCCTGCAAGGCTTCCAGCTCACTCACTCCCTCGGTGGGGGCACAGGATCTGGCATGGGGACCCTCCTTATTAGCAAAGTCCGTGAAGAATACCCAGACCGGATCATGAACACTTTCAGTGTGGTGCCTTCCCCCAAAGTATCTGACACTGTGGTAGAGCCTTACAATGCCACCCTGTCTATCCACCAGTTGGTGGAAAACACAGATGAGACCTACTGTATCGACAATGAAGCCCTCTACGACATCTGCTTCCGGACCCTCAAGTTGGCTACCCCAACCTATGGAGACCTCAACCACCTGGTTTCTGCCACCATGAGTGGTGTGACCACCTCTCTGAGATTCCCAGGGCAGCTCAATGCAGATCTGCGCAAACTGGCAGTCAACATGGTTCCCTTCCCTCGCCTCCACTTCTTCATGCCCGGCTTCGCTCCCCTGACGGCCCGCGGGAGCCAACAATATCGAGCCCTAACTGTGCCTGAGCTCACACAACAGATGTTTGATGCCAAGAACATGATGGCTGCCTGCGATCCCCGCCATGGTCGCTACCTTACTGTGGCCACAGTCTTCAGAGGACGCATGTCCATGAAGGAGGTGGATGAGCAGATGCTTGCCATTCAGAGCAAGAACAGCAGCTACTTTGTGGAATGGATTCCCAACAACGTCAAGGTAGCCGTATGTGACATCCCGCCCCGTGGCCTGAAGATGTCCTCTACCTTCATTGGCAACAGCACCGCCATCCAGGAGCTATTCAAGCGCATCTCAGAGCAGTTCACGGCCATGTTCCGGCGCAAAGCCTTCCTCCATTGGTACACGGGGGAGGGCATGGACGAGATGGAGTTCACGGAGGCTGAGAGCAACATGAACGACCTGGTCTCCGAGTACCAGCAGTACCAAGATGCCACCGCTGAAGAGGAAGGGGAGATGTACGAAGACGATGAGGAAGAGTCTGAAGCCCAGGGTGCCAAGTGAGGGCCTGGCTGGGAGCCACCCTCCACCCTCCCTGGGAAGAAGCTGCCCTTGGCACCACCCTGTGGCTCATCTTCATCTGCCAACTTTCCCATCTGATGAGTTTTAGACAACCAGCTTCTAGTTACTTCTGATTCAAGCGTTCCAAAACTTAAAAATTCAGTATTTGACCATCTTTTCTTCCTGCTCCCCAATCTCCAGTTTTTTGAGTTAGTGCAAGTCCCAAAGTTAGTCACTTTGATAAATCCAAGGATCCTGTTCTTTACTTTTTACTGGTCTGTGTCTATTTTTATGTTTTGGAATACTTAATAAATTTGTTGCTGTCCAGCTTGTGGGCTGTCTGCTTTCTCCCACTTGGAGGTTGGGTGGCTGGGTCAGCAAATATGGAAGTTTGAGATGCCCCCATTCCTTTGGTTCCTCTTTGGGTGGGCTTTGCTTGTGGCCACGAGCAAGAAGATGCTGGACTGTTGCAGGCCATTCCCTGCAGGGCCATCCTTAGGTTTGCTTGCGGAGCTGACAGATCCTGGAGACAAGCCAGGGGGATCAGGTGGTCTCGTCCAGATGGATCTGCATGAAGGACAAAGGGATCATAGTCTTTGCCTCTGCTGGGCCGGCCAAAGTACAATGGCGGGAGGTCAAAAGGGTTAGTGGCAGCATCCCTGGCTGAATAAGTACAACAAGCCTGAGATACGTGCATGGGTTGCCCCGCCTGCAACTGCATCTGTCCCCTTGGGACATCAGGGCCACATCTAGCAGCAGTTGCCGTGTTCTCAGTGGCCTTCATTTTAGACGCGTCCCGCTACTCAGAAGGCCGCACCTGCACAAGTTCTCACCTTCTTTCCTGGCCCCTCTTTGAGGTTCATTTGGTTTTGCTGCCAGCGAGACGGCAGCACTCTGCCCAGAAGCTCTTCCCAGGCTCAGCTGGGTGGGCACAAAAGCCATTCTCTGCCTCCCTTTGCTGCAGCCCGTGAGCTTGGGCGGGGGGTCGGTGGGCTCTGTGCTGGCCCTTTCCCATTTTTCACTCTCAGAAACACAAGGAGGTGCCTTTCCCAGGTCCACTGAGCCCAGAAAGGTTGGCAGACAAGAAGCAGCGACCGGGGGGGGGGGGGGGGGTTTCAGAGAAGCTACTCCCAGAAAGGGTAAAGAGCCCTGTCTGCTTATGGCTGCAGAGAAAATATTTCTCAGGGCTGTCCTTCAAACACTGAGGTGCATCCCGCCTTGGCCCATGGGAGTCTGTTTCAGGAAAGCACGGAAAAGTTTCTGTGTGCAAGTCTTTCCTTCTGGCCTGTCTTAATTTAGGGAGGCAGGAAGCGGGGTGAGCACCACCGGGGCTCTTGGCAAAGTGCCCAACAGGCCCCTGCCTTCCTCCTTCCTTCCCTCCCTCTGGCCAAGTAGAGCTGATGTCCCACTTCTTTCCATGGGGATCCTAATGCACACCATTAACAATGGTATCCAGCTATTTTCCTTGGGGGGAGGGGGCCATGGCTGCAGCATAGGTTCCTTGGAGTGGGGTCAAAAGAGTGAAGATGGCACTTGCAAGCAATGCACATATGTAAAAAAAAGGTGGGGCTTAAGTGGTGTGGTCACAACTACCCCCTACTCCCTGCAAAGACTTTCTCCACCAATAACCCCAGACTCTAGGCCTTGCCTGAATGAAAACAAAGGAAAAGTCATTTAGCCATCAGAGGAGCTCCTTGCTGAAGCCATAAAAGTAAGACTACCACACCTCCTCCCTCCTTCCCCTGGATGAGTTGACTCAACCCCGCTTTTGAACTGATAGCAGAGGGTGTGTGTGTGTGTGTGTGTGTGTCTACTGCAGGCCCTTGTTTCTTGGCACTTGCAATGCCCGCTTGTGCCACTGCCAGCCTGTTTTCAAAGAGGCAGCTGTACCCCCATCAAGGACACGCATATTAACCAGGAACCAAGGAAATGCTTGGAAAGTCCCTGCAACGAAGGCAATTCCACCTCATTTCTTCTTTGAGCCAGACTCGCAATTTTGTTCAAGTGAACGAATGGATGATGGTTGTGCTTCAACTAGAACATTTTCCTGAGAAAACAAACAATGGAGCTTTTCCTTAATTCCAGACCATGGACTAGGGCGGGATGGGTAGAGGAGGATGACAGTGGCCCTCAGTCCTTGGAGAACCCAACTTCGAGCCAAGCAAGCACTGCTGTGGAGTAGGAGTCAAAGGCGGCCACCGCTTGGCCACCAAGACACCAAAGCTATGAGATTCACACCTCAGGCGCAGCCATTGCTGGCTTACCGACTCACTGGCTCCGATGTGCCACTCAGGGCCCTGCAACAGACCCCTCCTGTGCAGGGAAAGGGGGGGGGGTGGCCCTGGGCTGTGGCCCCCCAAGGGGCCGGTGGGCGGGCGGGATGGCGCGCCCGGGAAAGGGGGCGGGGGCTCCGGGCGCCAGGCCGCCTGGTCTTTCACGGCCGGCTTTTCCCAGGGCTCGACGCCGCCTCCTCCGGCCTTGTAATAACCAGAAAGGCGGGCGGAGATCAAGGCGAGCGGGAGGGCCTTGCGCGCTGCCGTCCAAGCGGCCGGGGGGTCCGGGCAGGAGAGCCGGGGGCGGAGCGGGCGGGAGAGGCGGCGCGCGAGGTCCGGCGATGGGCCGCGCTCCTCCGACCGCGCGGGGGCAGCAGCGGGCGGCGCGGGCGCTCCGGGCGCGCTGGGCTGAGCGGGCGGCGGGCTACAATGTAGCGAGCGGAGGAAGCGGCGCGTCCGGGCCAGCCGACCGGGCCGGGCCGGGCCCCTCCCCATGGGCGCGCAGGTAAGAGCAGCCGCCCCCGCCCGCTCAGGCGGCCTCGTCCTTTGGTGGCGCCGCCACTGGCAGCGGTGGGCACGGAGGGGGCGAGGGCGGCGGCGGCCCCTCCCGTGCCCGCCAGGGCTGCCTTGGGGGTGGGGGTGGGGGGGGGGGGGTTGGCCGCCGTCGGTGCGTCCCAGTGGCTAAGCCGCCGCAAGCACCAAGGAGCGCAGCGAAATGCGGGCGGGCGTCGGGCGCTTTCCCCGGGCATCCCACGGAGCGAAGTCAGCCGCCGTCGCCTGCTTGCGCTGCCTCCGTGGGGTCCGCGAGGGCCCGTTGTGGGGAGCAAGCGCTGCCTCTGGGCCCTGGTTCGGCTGTAGCGGGGGCAGGCGGACGTATCGGCCGAAAGCCTCCGGCTCTCCCGCTGGTCTCCAGGCCGGGGCTCCGGAAAGACCTGCCGGCCGCTTAGCCTGAGCTGAGTTGCTGCTGGCGGAGTTCAACCGCTGCGCCTTAGAGGGTCGCTTTGGGTTTGCCTTGGTGTGACCTGTGAACCCTTCGGCTTCTCCTTACGGCCAATTACGCCATCAGCCACGGTTCAGAGATCAGCATTTATTCAGGAGCGATTCGGACTTAGCCCCATTATTTTGAATGGTTTTAACTCCCGGGCTCTCCAAGTGTTGATTTTATACCAAATTCAAGAATTTCAGGAAAACATTGTTCATGGTTAATTCTATTGCACCTTTATGGCATTCTTGGAGCATGCTCTTTAAAAACTCAGGTTCATGCTGAGCTGATAGTGGCTTCCCTGAAAAGTTATTCAGCAGACACTGGGTGGAAACAGCAGGGCCTTTGGTGCTACCACCCCCGGGGGCATGGGGGTGTGTGATAAAAGCTACATCATCATCATCATCATCATCATCAGGCAGACTTTCAGGGTAAGGATCCACCCAGCTGACAGGCTCAGCAAAGCAGGGATGCTCTGAATGATGTCATTTTAAAACCTCCTTGAGGAAATGAGGCAGAACAAAAGAATCAAACACCAAGAATTGGGAAATGTGGTGGGTTGGAGTCCTTTCTCAGACACCCCTCCCCCCATAGAGAGCGTAATGGGGTGAGCATCACAGGAGCATAGCTCCTCCCCCTCTTTTTCTCTGTCTCTCGTGCTGTTCAGGGACCCCAAGTGAGAGCACCTTCCTGCTGTGTTGACTAGACTCATTTAGTTTCCCTTTTTTGCCTGCCCTCAGCCTGGAGCTCCTTAAATCCGCCTTGGTAGTTGTGCAAGTAACCTCAGAATTCTTTGCCTGGAGGGAGGCTGTGACTTTGCACTGCTAGAGTTCCCAAAGTTGAAGATCACAGGACACTGAAATGGGGGTTCGGAGATTCTGCACCCCAAACTGCCAATAGCTCTGAGCTATAGAAGTGATCCTGATAGATGAGGAGGAGGAGGAGGAGGGAGGATTTGGAGTCCTTGGTACTCTCTGAGCTTGGCTGTTTTCTTGCAAGGTTTCTTTCTGGAATTCTTGCTCGTTCCTAGGACATGACTGGCAGCAACCATGTTGCTCCAGAAAGTGCTCTCAACTATCCGGCCAGGTGTGTTCATGACTCTGCAAAGCACATGGGGGCCATCTGAGCTGGCAGAACCGGCTTTTCTACCTCTCAGGATGTCAACAAGGCTTGAGAGGCTGGGAGGAGCTGCTGGGAAGCTAAAACAGTGAAACACTCCAGTAGCTTTTGGTAGGCTGAGACCCCGGCCCCGGGTGGGGCATGCTCTGATGGTGGCTCAGGCTCTTCCCCCTGGCCTTGGCTCCCAGCAGGTTGGACTGCTATGGAATATGATGAGAAGCTGGCCCGTTTCCGGCAGGGCCACCTCAACCCGTTCGACAAGGCCCCGCTGCAGAATCGGCAGGAGCAGAAGACAGCCGGGGCTGGAGAGGGCTTTCCTCAGAAAGGTGAGCTCTCCCCTTCCTCGCTTTCTCCCTGGGAAGGACTTGGCAGCACTGAATCTAGTCTGGATCCAGGAGGATTTTCCTTCCTTTTCCCTAAAGACTGGGTCAATACCCCTTGGAAACCTGAGGGCAGGATTTCCCTGGCCAAGGGTTCCCCATCAACGTCAGCCTTGGGGGTGGCTCCAAGTCAGTATCCAGCTGCTGGGACAGGAGATCGGCTCTGCCTGAGAATCCCAAAGCTGCCGTGGCAACCTTAACTTCTGAAGCGGAGCCCCAGATGGCTGCTGTCTCGCTTGCTCACAGGGCGAGGCCTTTACCATGGGCCAAGTAGAGAAATGGGCCCTCCTGCTTTCCAACATGACACCTCTTCCTGCCCTTGAATTGGTTCTGTCCACTGGGACTGGCCTTGGGATGGGGGGTTCCGGTCAGAGGTGGACACCACTGACCAGCTGCTAGTTTTGCCAAGGCTGGAGGGCTTCAGGCTTCAGAAAGAAGGAAGCGGTGACCTTTGACTCTAGCAGACCAGGCACATGGAGCCCAGATGGACAAAGATCGCGGGACACTCCATTCTTCTGTCCTGTCCGAGGCAGAGCTCTCCTGGCAATGCTCTGCGTGTTGAGCAGGCTTCTTTGAAGGCTAGGCTGCTTTTCTCCCCCCCCCCCCCATGTAGACGTGAATCTGGGATTGTCTCTGGAGGAGCCAGTGTTCCCTTGCTCAGAGCGCACCATGGACCTGGGCTTGGCTGAGGACCATTTCTCACGCCCAGTGGTAAGAAGGCAGCCTTTTGGGGTGGGTGGGAGAGGAGATAATGGGAAACATCTGCAGGCCAGGAGCTGTTAGCACAGGTTGGACGCCCCTCCATGGGCGGCGGCTCTTCTCCTGCAGGGCCTGTTCCTGGCCTCGGATGTGGAGCAGCTGCGGCAGGCCATCGAAGACTGGAAGCAGAGGATCCTGGAGTTGCCAGATAACTCCGAGAAGCAGAAGGACGCCGTGGTGCGGCTCATCCACCTGCGGCTGCGGCTCCAGGAGCTGAAGGTGCGGAACAGTCCTCAGCTGCAACCAGAGGGTGGGTGGTGGGCTGCGATTGCTCCATCAGAGGTTCCCAAACATCTGGATTCTTGGGAGGCTTTGCAGCACTCCAAGAAGAGGGCAGGGTTTCGTCTCCCCTCTCCTCAGCCAGGATTCTGGGGGTGGGGGAGGGGGCTTTTGTCTCAGAGGGCCAAAGGATTGTAAACCCCTGCCCCCTCCCCACAGGACCCCAGTGAGGATGAGCCCAACATCCGGGTGATCCTGGAGCATCGCTTCTACAAGGAGAAGAGCAAGGGAGTGAAGCAGACCTGTGACAAGTGCAGCACCGTCATCTGGGGGCTGATCCAGACCTGGTACACCTGCATGGGTGAGCATTCCCCCCACCCCTCGCTGCCTTGCTACGGAGCCTGGTTCTGGCAAGGATGAGCATCAGCCTTCTTCCCACGGGCTGGGCACTGGGCTCGGGTCAGCCTGGCGCTTCCTTCTCCCTCCTCCCAGGCTGCTCCTATCGCTGCCATAGCAAATGCCTGGACCTCATCACCAAGCCATGCGTGCGCTCCAAGGTCAGCCACCAGGCCGAGTACGAACTGAGCATTTGCCCTGAGACGGGCCTGGACAGCCAGGACTACCGCTGTGCCGAGTGCCGGGCACCCATCTCTCTCCGTAAGCAAGGAGGAGGGGGACTGAATCGGAAGGTGCCCCGGGTGGAGCTCCTGCTTCGCTCGCCAGGAGGCCTTGATTCAATCCAGGCTCTTCTGAAGCAAAAGGCTCAGGAAGGGCCGTTTCCAGCCATTTGGGTCTTGCCAGCAGATGTCACTTCTGGGCTCCCCTCTCTTGCTCCAGCTATCTGGAGGGCACGATCTGGGGTGGGGGTGGAGACCCCATAATAAGGTGGCTCTTTATTGTCCCAGTGACTGGGACCTGCCCAGCCTAGCAAGGACTCCCTGCCTCCCGGTTCCCCTGACTTCCGCTCTTTCTGCCACAGGTGGGATCGCAGGTGAGGCTCGGCAGTGTGACTACACAGGCCTCTATTACTGCAGCAGCTGCCACTGGAATGACCAAGCTGTCATCCCCGCCAGGGTCATCCACAACTGGGACTTTGAGCCCCGCAAGGTAAGCAGAGCTTGGGGTGGATGACGTTTCCCCCACCCAGAGGAGATGAGGAGAGCAGCCGCTTTAGGAAGGATCAAAGAGCTGAAGTTGCGGAGCCCTTCCACACAGCCTGCTGTTGGGCATGAAATGTGCCCGTGTCATGGCTGTGGGCCAGGAGAACTGGTGGTGCCCTTCAGTTGTGTTGAGCCACAATTCCCATCATCCCCTGACATGATAGCCAGCTGAGGCCATATGTCCAGACCAAACTGGAGGGCAGCTGGTTGGAGAAAACGAGCTGCCTAGACTCTGGGCAGAAGCTTTGTAGAGCAGGTGACAAGCAGGGACCCCCTTCCTGGGTGGAGAGCCTGTGCCTTGCACTTGGGTGAAATGCAAATGTGCCTTGCCAGTCTTCCTTGGACTGGGGGCTTTCCGTCCGCCTCACTATGTGAGTGAGGACCCTTTCTATGGGGACCCATTATCCAGGGGAGGCAGAGAGGAAGTGCCCTGCCCAGATCGCATCCCACAGAGCTCTCCATTCATCCAGGAGTGGGGCAGATGGATCCCCTCTGATGCCCTGCGGGGCTACTTAGTCGCAGACCTTCCCTGCAGTGCGGGGCTACCGTCTGCTTCAGGAGGCCAATGCGATTTTCAGGTCTCTCGGTGTAGCATGCGCTACTTGGTGCTAATGGTGTCCCGACCAGTCCTCAAATTGCGGGAGACCAACCCTCTTCTCTTCAATTACGTTGAGGAGCTGGTGGAGATCCGGGTGAGTATTTGAAGGGCTGGAAGTGGGCCTAAAACGCCTCCGTGGATTCTAAAGCATCGTCTCCTGAGCTGCGGTTCCCACCTGGCACCACAGTGTGGGTTGAGCAACCACTTCTCGATCGGCTCTTCCCCTTCAGAAACTGCGTCAGGACATCCTGCTCATGAAGCCGTACTTCATCACCTGCAAGGAGGCCATGGAAGCTCGGCTGCTGCTCCAGGTCAGAGAAAGCAGCTGTCCAACCGGGGGCCATGGACCTCTTCAAAGCATGGGGCAGGCGGGCAGTTGGATTGGGGTTTTTACTTTTCTAGGTGGAAGAGGGCGTGAAAAGACCATCTGGCCAAGGCTGAGAACTCCCTTCCCGTTCTCAGCCTTCACTCTCCTCCCCACCTCTTCGCTTGCCCCCCACCCACCCCCAGGCAGGCAGACTAAAGTCTTGTGCCTCCCTCCAGCTCCAGGATCGCCAGCACTTTGTGGAGAATGACGAGATGTACTCCCTGCAAGACCTGATGGATATCAACGCCGGGCGGCTCAGCTGCTCCCTGACGGAGATCCACACGCTCTTTGCCAAGCACATCAAATTGGACTGTGAGGTAAGGCTGGCTGGGCGGGAAAGAGCAGCCCAGCAGAGGCTTTGGTAGAGAGGTGCAAGGAGGCCCTTAGAGGCCTTGTCCTCGCTGCCAGTTGCTGCAAGGGTGGAGTAAAAATAAAAATAAGCCAGTGTAGAAAGAAAGGAAGATGATCTTGGTGGAAACGTGCAGAGCTGTTGCCTAGCAAAAGGCTCCAAAACATGTTTTTAAGTCTAGAACTAAAAAGTAACATCAAGAAGAGGCTCAAGTGGAGCCTCCCAGATTCAGCGGCGCATAAAAAGAGGAGGTGCATCACAATCACACTTGCAAGATTCTGGCCTTGCTGATTTTTGCTTTTCAAGAAACACTCTAAAATATCTCTGTCATGTTGAGCTCTACCATTTTCTTCCATTAATTTTCCTTTTCTCTAGAATATTTTGTATTGGAAAATTCTCCTCTCCCCCCCCCTTCTAGGTCCGTCTATATGAGGGTTGCAGGTATTTGGCAGCACAGGGTTGGTAGTCATGTGAAGGGCACATCCAAGGAGGGGCTTGGATTGGCACTATAACTCACCAGCTTCCCCTCTTCCTTCTCACAGCGGTGCCAAGCAAAGGGCTTTGTGTGTGAGCTCTGCAAGGAGGGAGATGTGCTCTTCCCCTTTGACAGCCACACCTCAATGTGCACAGACTGTTCGGCTGTCTTCCACAGGTGAGTGCAACCACCTCCGCCTGCCTCCTCTAGTGCTAAACAATAGACGGCCTGTTGAAGTCAGCTGGCTGGTGGCTCCTCCAGAAGAAGGAAGCAAACAGGCCCTTTGTCTTTCCTCTCCCAGGGACTGCTTCTACGACAACTCCACAACATGCCCCAAATGCGCTCGACTCAGTCTCAGAAAAGAGTCGTTGCTCAGGGAGCACAATATGGAGCTGCAAGCCTAAGTGTCACTTCTCTGAAATGGAGGGGATCATAGCAGAATCACAGAGTTCCCAGCTTACCTGTGACTTGTCCTTCTTGAAGGAGAGCAGCTCAGACTGGTGAGGAAAGAACCCTGCCAGAGGAGGGTGAGGTGGGAATGCCATGCCCAAGCTGGAGAAGGATGCTGCCCCTCTGCCTCTGGACAGATGTCAAGATTCTCCTTGAATTTCCGAGTCTGAGGGAGTTTAGTCCTGGCTGCAACTGGCAGAGGTGGAAAAGTGGCTGCCAGAGGAGTTTATGGAAAATGGTGGCCACCTCCCCTCAGTAACTGGGTAATATCATCCCTGCTTGGCTGGCACAGACTCCAGCTGTTCTGGCTTCCTTACAGACCATGATAGTTCAGCGAAGACAATGGCTGCAGCTGGGCAGGCTGTAGAAATGGTGGCATTTGGAAAGTTGTTCCTTTGACCTGGAGGCATTTGTCTTGGAGATGGAGAGACTTGGTTTTCCTTCCCCATCCTCTTAGCCCAAAATGATGGCAATTGCCAGGACTGGATGTATCATAGAATAGTCTCTGCCAGCCATGAAGAGACTCTGGGATTCTTTATACCACAGTAATTTATCACAAGCACTAAAATCACTTTAAATAAAGCTAAGCATAAATATTGAAGTTTGATGTGGCTGTTTTCAAAGTTGTTTCTCTTCTCTCCAAAAAGATTTTTATATTTCATCCTCTAAAAGCAGTTAACTGAAAAAAATCCAGTTTTGGGTACAGTTCCAACTCTTGTGCCTTCTGACAGCCAGAAGGGAGGATGTGGGGGCGGCGGCATCTTCCATTCAAGTCTCCTGGCCTAAATGAAGCCTTGGTTGTGAGCCTTCTCACTGCGTCATTTACTCTTTCAACAAAGTCATGGGTGATGGCCATCATGACTTGAGGCACCTCGTCCCTTGCATAAATTTGGATCATTTGGGGTTGTGACATTGACATGTTATATAGGAAGACAAGAACATCCTGATTGAGGCCTGCATTTGGCCCACCAGGTTTTGAAGACATTCCTGGAGGTACTTGGGGAGGTTATCTATCCTAGTTCAGAAGAAAGAGGAAATTTGTAGACACTTGGTCCATGATGTCTCCTGAAAAAAAAAAGGGGGGTCTTGGAGACAATATTTATATTCCACTAAAAAGAAGGGCCGAGGCACAAGTTTGTCTTGATTTTGCCCCTCCAACCCCTCCCCCGCCTCCAATCAAACAGCCCCTGGAAAACAATGAAGCCTGTGATCCTCTTTCGTCCTCTCAGCAGCTTGGAGAATCCAGGGAAAGGGGAGCCTAGTTTGGTGGAGGGCAGCTGCTCCCTGAAGGGATGGCTCCTAACTCCCGTTAACGGCCGGCTAGCCAGTTAAAAGCTGACGCTCACGAAGGGCGCCAGGTTGGAGCAGCTCCAGCGTGGGAGGCGGAACCGAAGGCCACGTGCTCGGCTGCCCGCCGGGCTGCTTTTCCGGTGACACGGAGGCGCTTGTCTTCTGGAAAGGGCTGCTCCGGCGCCTGCGCAGTTCGTCCCATCGCGCAGGAGGACCGGCCGCAGCCCGGAGGGTGGCGGAGGGTCTCGGCTGGCAGTGTCGGGCGGGGGGGGGGGGGGGGGGACGCGCAGGGCCCTTTGGAGGCCAAAAGGGCCAGAGCGGATCGGTCGGTGGGATCAGAAGCGAGAGGGCGGGCGAGGCGCGGCCAGATTTGGGGAGAGGCTCCCCTGAACCTCTGCAGGGCCCCCGTCAAGGCCCCCCTGAACCCGAAGCCCCCCCCCCGGGTGAGGAAAAGCCGCGGTTGCTGCTTCTGCCCTGGGAATTCCGGCCTCCGCCTCGCTTTCCACCCGCCTTCCGCCCCCCCCCCCGAGGATCCCCCCTGAACCAGGGGGAGGGGGAGGGGAGCAGGAGCCCCCCCGCCCCTCGTGTGATCCCTTGCTTTCCTTTTTGCGGGTCCCGCAGGGGAGGCTTCTCTGCAGGAGAGGCTGCATCCTTTCCAGGCGGCAGGCTTTGCTTTAAGCCAAACTCCTACAGGTAGTAGTCGGGATGTCAGGCCGAATTCTGCTCCCAACTTGACAAGGCCAGCCGGAAGATTGCCCCAATGTATAGCTCGCAATGGCAGAGCTCCCCCCACCCTCTCTGATGCAGAGGTGGTATTTTAGGCCAAATGGGGGCAGCTTGTCCCCTGCCTTTTCCTGTGCTGCTGCTGCTGCCTTATCATACATACACACACCCATCTCCAAGCTGCAGAAGGGAAGGTCCTCCCCCCCCCCGCCCCCACGTCTCTGGGAGTTTTCCCAGAGGTCCGCCTGGAAAACACAGGGATCCCCCAACCCTGAAGCTTTCTGCCTGTAATGCCTGGGTGGGTTCTTAAGTGAAGTAAAAGAAGCTGCCTTAAACCAAGATCATTTTCCTTACTTGCATGGCTCTGTCTACCTTAGAAGGTAGCAGAGGTCACCTTGATCAGTAGCAGAAAATGCTTCCCTGCTACGGGTTTCTTTCCCAGGGTATGCACTGATCCACTGCCTGAAAAGAATCAGGAGGAGCAAAAACCCTACAGAGACCATTTGAAACAACTTTAATCACCAGAACATCAGAGGTAGCAGAGGGGCACTATACAAGTATGGACAGAATTTAATCCAAAGATTAGGGGGGGATAGGAACACAGAGCATGGAAGGAACTCAACGAAGACAGAGGTTCCAAATATCGAAGACACCAGACTGGTTGGGTGGAGATTGTTGAGATCCCAGGAGGACCTTGCTTTGCAAAAAGCAGGAATTGGCTACCCTTGTGAAGATCTTGGGTTCCTCCTGGGAGTTTAGCCAGTGTTTCCTTGATGCTGGGACACAAGAAAGTGCTCCTTGGTGTTTAGAATGCAAATACATACCCCTTTCCTTGTGCATTTGGGCTTGCTTCCTTGGTGCCCTAATCATCAGGCCAACATCAAATGTCTGTCTTTCATGGTGTGGTTGTACATAATCAGGAGAGGCTAGCCGTATCATCTTGTAAGGGGTTCGCTCCATTGCTGCACAAGTGGATGACACTGTCTAGTTGAGGAAAAGCCAACAATCGGTACTCAAATGTTATCTGTGCTTGACCCCAACATGCAGCCTGGAATGTTGAGAAGACTGGGGTGCCCATCCCCAGTGCAGCATATGGCCAAGATTCAGCAGAGCCTGCAAGGCCAATGGGGGCTGTTGTGCTGCTCCTTGAGGGAGGAGGTGGCCGCTCCACACTTGGGCCCTCACAGGGCACCCTCTGGGTCTGGGCCAGGGGGCTTCGAGGGCTGCTGATTGGACCTTGGCCCAAGGGCCTACTTGGCCATCCCTTTGCAGATCAGCCTATCTCTCCAGCAGCTGTGCCCGACCCAGAGGCAAGAAAGCAAGCAGGGAATGGGGGCTTGGGATCTCCTGTTGCCCCTCACAAAAGGACCAGCTAAGCCCTTTTGTGCCAGGGGGATCCCTGCCTGCATGCCTCTCCAGGAGTCCACATAAATTTTTTTCCAGGGGTGGCTTCTCCCCACCCCTCACGTGGTGTTCACATTGAAAAAGTTTGCTTCAGTCCCTCTGTGTGGCCCTAAAGGAGATGGAGAGCTGAAGGCCACTCTTGCTGTCAACCAGGGGAAATTTTACTTTTCTGGTTTGGAAACCCTCCCCCACACCCACCAAGTCTGAGCCTAGGATTTTGCCTCCATGTTGGGTATAACAGAGATGGCCCAGGAGCCAGATGGGTCTCTCCAAGCCCAAGTAACCCTGAACTTGAAGGTCTCATCCGCAGAGCCTCTCCCCTTGCTTGGCCCTGGAGAGCAGCTGTACCAAGGAAAAGCAAAGGGAAGCATTGCAGGCATCTTGGCTGGCCACACAGGATGGCTGTTGGCTGGCAGCTTAGAATGGCCGCCTGTCCCTTGTGGCGTCGAGAAGAGAAGGAAACCAGCCTGTCTCTGCTGCTTTACTCGGGGCTCATTCTCCTGGGCCGGTTGCTGCTGAAGAAGAGACCATGGACTGTCTGAATGAACAAGGACTGGTCCAACAGTCCAGGGAAGGTTGGGAGGGGACAGCAGAGCAGTTGTGTCCACCAGCCAGGCCCCTTGCTAGTGGTCCCGAGAACAGCTACCTCCTCCTAACGCAGAGCTCCCTGGCAGGTGGGGTTTAATAGCAGCCAAGATCAGATTGTATGGTGTTTTCTTGGTTGAAGTAAATGACTTGAGTTGGCAATGCAAACTCTTGTCCTGTCCTGAGTCAAGCAAGCAAAAGGCCCAGGCGTATCCAGAGGGTGGGGAGAGGTGCTGTCCTCGGAGCCTGCCCCTCTAGTGCCACCCCAGCCCGTGTCCCTCTCTTCTTACAGAGGACATGGGAGTTGTTGTGGGGACATGGGGAAGGTCAGGAAGAACTCCGAATTGGTGAACTCTGAAATAATGAATGCCTTGGAGGTTCAGTGACTGAAGGGAGAAGGCCAACTCGTGTGGGAGCCTTGCTGGCTGGCTCTCCTCCAGCTCCATGGGGGCCCTCCGGATAGGGGAGATATTTGAGCTTTTGTCCATGGGGGAAGCTCTCTGCTGTCCACCACTCACTCTTCATCTGGTCTGGTCACAGGTGTGGGTTCTGGAAGCACCGGGGATCCTGTTTCACGCCGATTGCTTCACCTTGCTTGGCTTAGCTCTCTCCAGCACCAGGGAGGTTGGTGAGCCACCGCAACAGCAGCGTGTGCCTTGCCAGCCACGCCACGCCACACCCTGGCCGGCTTCCTCTCGAGAAAAGCTTTTTCTGCTGAGGAAGGCACACTGCTATGACATGGGTGGGCATCGGCTCCAGGGGGATATTCCCGAGCCTGCCTGAAGTTGGGCCAGCTGCATTGGTGCTGTGCACTTTGCGCATAGCGGTGGAGTGCTGGGCAAGAGTTAAGGCCATTGGAAACGATGTGTGCTTAGAGCAGAGAAAGTTCCAGAATTCACACTGTTTCAGTGCCCCAGAAATGGTGCTGTGTTTGCCCCTCTGTTCCTTTGGTATAATGGGTAGCTTGTCTTGGCAGAGGAGCTTCCTGGCTCAGCCCAGCAGCAATCAAGGCACGTGGCTGAAGAGGAGGCTGCCCCTCCTTCAGGCTTCGGCAGCTCTTGCCACCAGCCCCCCTCCAAATAAGGTTGGGAGAGCACCCCTTGCTCAGTCTACCTTCTCCAACCGAAAAGAGCCCTGGAAGGTTCAAAGTGCCTGCAGGAAATGGGCAGTCCAGCAGGGGGAAGGGGGCCTGCTGGGGCCTGAAAGGAGATTGGCAAATTAAATGAGGGGGAAGGGGGGCTCTTGGCACGAGGCGCAGTTTGCAAACGTCCCGGCTGCGGCTGCGTAGGAGGGATGACTGTGCAAGAGTGAAGGCTGGCACCCAGGCGGGGCTCCTGCCCTCCCCCTGTTTACTCCTCCTTTGGCTTTTCCACAGCCAGGAAAGGGTCTGCTTGGAGCTCAGGATCGCTGAGATGTTTCTTCTCACGCCCCGGTTCAGCTTTTGTCCTTGTCCAGGAGGGGGAGCGGAGGTAGCCGGCTCTGGGGGTTGAGTGGGGATGCAGTCCTGTGCAGGAATAGGAGAGGGAGGGGGTCCCCTTTAGCAATCCCCAAGCACAAGCAAGGAAGCCTTGGTGCCAGCAGTGTCTCAGCTGTCACTCACAGCAGAGGAGGTGCTTGGCACTGAATGCCCCACAATCAGTCAAAATACACACATGCAATTTTGGGAGGGGCCACTTACCAGCAGGGGGCTCTCGGGCTGCATTTTCCTCATCCGAATCTGCAAAGACTTCGGCCAGCTCTTGGTCAGACATGTCTGTCAGTTCCGTGAGGTCCAGCAGGTCAAAATGCACCTCGAGAGATGAAACGCTGCTCAGGGGTTCTGAGAAGAGACGGGGAGGGTGGGAGCTCAAGATCTTTCTCTCGAGCCTCATGAAGCCCCCCCCCCCCCCCCCCAGGGCTAGCCCTGTACTTACGCCGGCGCTCAGCCACCTGCAACAACCCTGAGGTGGGCATTGGGGTCCCTCCTTCCTCCTCAGCCAGAGAGCTGCGGGGCTCTTCTACCAGCCCATGCATGGAGAAGGTGATGGGGGTCTGCCCCTCCAGTTTGGGGGCTTCCTGGGTCAGTTCTGCAATGACAAAAAGGGCATTGGGACAGAGAGGCCCAGCCTGCTCAGCCTCACTGTTGCCTCCACCAAGGAAGGATGAATTTTCAGTCATGGTCTCTTGCCTGTCTAGGGGGACCCACCTGGAGGGAGGCTCCTAGCGCCACTCTTGGGGGGGGGGGTTAAGCTCCTCCCCCGGCCTCATCAGGGTCTTCCTGATGGGGGTGTGGATTGCAGAGGGGCTGCCCACCCACTCTTCTGTTGGGAGATTCCTGCCTGCTTTGCCCCAGAGCTCACCTATTTCCTGACTGCTGGCAGTGTGTGCAGTCACACCCACACACCCACTGCAGAGAAAGCCCTCCAGACGGGCATGTGCAGAGCTGATGAGCAACAGCTGTTGGGTACCAGGAACCTAAGACTCCACTCTGGCACCCAGCCTTGCGCCGGCAGAGACAAAAGGCTGGCTTCTTTTGGAGCAGGTGGCAAGAGGACAAAGGCTGATCTGTCCTGGGGAGGGAGAGGCAAATGGGGCCGCAGAGCTGGCTGTGTGCCAGGTATTCCTAAGTTACCCTCTGGCGGGGTGGGGCTCTGTCTCCTGGAGGTGTCCTGGAAGCGCTGCCACAAGCTGATGCATGGGGGGAGGGGGGCTCTCTCAGCAGCTGCCTTGCTGATGATGCCTTCCTGCCATTGAATTTCCAGCAGTGCCTGCTCCAGTGAGCCATGGGGGGGTGGGTAGGGGAGGGTCTCTTTGCAAAGGGAAGAAACTTAGCCAGGGGGCGTGGTTCATTCATCTCAGAGAAGGCACTTCAGGCCATGCATTGGTCCTGCTCTGGCTGCATTCTGTAAGGAATGCATTGCAAGCCTGACTCTCCTCGGGCACCCTCTTCCCTGACGGAATGGCATCTGGATCACCCTTGTGTCTGCCAGGAGGTCTTTTCCATGGCTGTTGCCAGTTAGCAGAGAAGGGGAGGTGCAACAGCAAGGGGGAAGTTTAAACTCTGCAAGCAGAAAATGGGTGACAGGAGTAGAATGTGATTGCCTGCACAAGCCTGTGCACCAAGCAAAATTTCTGACCCACAGCTTGCTCCTCCGCAGGCCCCCAAGACTGCTCCTTGCTCGGATGTCCCATTAGCTTGTCTGCAGAAGCCTGAGACTGTTCCAAAAAGTGGCCGAATCTCATGTTCCCCAAAAGGTCTGGGGGACCCTTGGCAAGCAGATTCATTTGAGGGCAGCCGCACCCTGCAAGGGGAGGTCAGCCAAGAGGACTGATGCCTGGCACAAGCCACAAGAGCAGAAAAGAAGCCAATAGGTGGGGCGGCTTTGGGTTTCCTCTCCAGCCCTCCTGCAGCTGAGAACAAGAACTGAATCCTGGCACCTGAAGGGGCCCTGATCACAGGAGGCCGGGCTGGACACCTGCAGGAACAAATTCAGGGGAAGAAATTAAATATGGAACCTGAGTGGAGCCACAAGCCATGGCCAAAACCTCCGTACCAGTTCTCACCTTTTATAGCATCATTGGAGACTTCCAGCTCTTGCAACCCAAAACCCGATTTGGTCCTAGACCCAGCAGGGGTGCTGGCAAGGCACAGGATGCTGCTCCGGACTCCTGGGGAATACCCCAGTTTTATATATGGGGAGGGGAGGGAGGGGGAGCCAGGCCGAAGGGAGAAAAACAGCATTCAGCGCTCAAAGCCGTGAATTATTCATGGCCAGGTTTTTAACAAGCCGAGTGTGGGGAAATCGCAAAGGAGGCGTGAATATAACAGGATACTTCCGGCTCTCGGTTGGCCTAGACCAGCATGACCGGCTTGCAGAGAGAGTTGAACTTGGGAGCATCTCCCTTTTGGAAGGGGCTCTTCGTCTGGCCTTTCTGCTTGCAGGGCTGAGAGCCTGTCGTCCACTTGGCTGCTCCTGGGAAGACCCCAGATGGTCTCAGAGGTCACCCAGAAGCCCCTTTCAAGCAAGGCCTATCTGCCCCTTCCCATAAGCCATGTGTCCACCTCCATGGAAAGGAGCCCTGGGGCAGCCCCGCAGCTCTGCAAGGGCAGCCTGACTTGAGCAACAGCTTGATGTCGGGGGTGGTGGTGGTGGCCCTTTCAGCAGGAGCCCTGAGATGTTGCTGGCCTGAGGGCCCTCGTAAATGCCCTCCTTCCCCAGGGCTGCCTCTCCTCTCATCCGCCTCCAGCATTTGGTCAGACACATTCAGACAGGAGCATATGGCTGCCTCCCTCCCACCCACCCACCCGCCACCAGTCTGCCACGCTGGTGTGGCTCTTCCTCTTCTGCAGCAGGACTGATTTCATGCACAGGAAGGCTGCACCTGCAGAGGGCTGGGGCCAGGGCACCCCCTGAAAGTTGGGGAATCTCCCTCTGGTAAGCCCACATTCTGCTTCACTCTTCCAGCAGGCACCACACCCATCTCTTGGGTGCTCTGGGGACAACATGCTGCCTTTGGGGAGGGATAGAGCTGCGCTCAGGGGTCCTGTGGGGCAGAGGAGGCAGCTCAAGCCCTGCCACCTCCAGCAGGCCAAGCCCCCTTCTTTGCCAATCCCAGGAGAGAGTGCTGGGTCTGCATTTCAACCAGCCTCCTAATGGGTCACAGCTCTCCACACTTGGTCCGAAAGGTTCTGCTAAAGGACTGGACTGCCGGATTCCTCCTTGTGGATTCCTGTCGTTTTCCATTCTGAATCTCTGGCTGTGGCTTTTCTCTAATTCTGCTGACCCATTTTCACACTTGCCTGGTTCCCTTTTCTAGCCAGAGTGTCTCTGCCTTGAGCAAGCAGTGAAGCCTGCAGGAAGGGGTCCTTCCCACCCTGAAGGAGCAAGCCTCTGCTCCCAGGGGCCACTTCTTACTGGGATGGCTGGAAAGAGACTGAGCCAATGTTCTTTGATCTCGCTTGTTTCTTATGGCGGGTGGGAAATGTACAGCATGGAAAGCAGGAAGGTCAGCTGTGTGGCCTGGAGAAGCAGCAGCTGAAACCGGGCAAGACTGGAGCCTCCGAAGGGATGCAGCGAAGCCCTTTCTCAGCCTTGCTTCCTTTCAGCCCTCTCGGGTCCCCTTTACGCTTCCACCTGCCTCCAGCAGCCCCCGCCCTCGCCCCCTCCCGAGACGCAGAGCAGGCTGCTCCTTTCACTCGGCCCCGGCGGTGGCTGCTGCCTTCCCTCCTCCTCCTCCACTGGGCTCCCACCCTCCCCACCTTGCTCTGATCCAGCAGCCGCCCTGCAGTCGAAAGGAGCTCGGAAGAGTCGGGCGCACCGCTCTCACCGCCACCACCAGGACCGCTGCTGACTCACGTTACAGGATCCGAGCCCAGCCTGACTCGCGGCTGCAGGTTGGCACAGCGAGGGAAGAGGGGGTCGGGCCCGGCAGTTCCCGCTGAGGTCCAGATCACCCACTCTGAATCTGCCAAACTGGCAGCCCTTCCCCACAACCATAAAGGTGCCCGGGAGGGAACATTTGGCCCGCCGGACCAAAATTCTGGGGAGGGAACTTGCACATTATTGAACCAATGCAGAAACTCCAGGAGCTCTTCCACCCCGTCAAGTCACTCCCTGTCCCCGTGGAATATGGAAGTTCCCAGGATGGTTAAAAAGAAGGCCCCGCCTGGATCGGGGCACCCGGACATTCAGCTCAGAAACCGAGGCTGCAACCCACCCAAAGCCGCGGCAGCTTTGATGAGCGGTAGCCGGCACCGACCCCCAAAGGCACGCTTCCTTCCTCGCGCACGTTCACACGTGCTTCTTAGCCACAGGAGTCCGAGAGCATTCCAGTCACACCCCACTGCGTGCTCCGGGCATCCTCACCGGAGCCCGCGGCTTGCCTTGCCTGCCGTCCCTCGAGCAACTCGCTTCCCTTTTGGCTTAAACGGGGCCGCGAGCTTCGCCGCGTTCCCAGCGCCTAAAGACTAAAGAGCGACGGGAGGTGGCGGGGGGGCCTTATTTGCCGGAGCCCCCTTAGCTCTTTGGAGCCGCTTAGCTTTCACCCTCCAGCCCTGCAAGCGGAAAAGTGGGAAGAGGCGGCCGAAGTTGACAGGCGGCGCTTCGGCTCCCTTCTTCCCGGAGAGCAAAAGGCCTCTTGGCCGGCCAACGGGCAGCCCCCCAAGCGCCCGGCGCATCCCTCGCCGCAGTGTCGGGCCGCCCCGCCGGGCCTCCCCATCTCGCAGCCCCTTCGAGCAGCAGCTGCTCGTCCGCGCCGCCAGCCGCCTCCAGGAGCGCCTCGCCTTCCGAGCCACTCACCCGGGGGGGCGGCCCCTCCTGGCGTCTCCATCCGTCCCGGCTGCACCAGGTGCCCGCTGCGCCGCTGCCGCCTCCCTCCGCGCCGCCGCGACCACTGCAGCAGCAGCAGCGGCCGCCCGAGCGCACATCGCCGGCGGGGAGGAGCGGGCCGGCGCGGGGGAGGGCGCAGGGCGGGGGGGCCGCCGCCGCCGCAGTCGAGCCCGGGGGACGCAGGGAGCCGTCGAGCGGCGCAGGGCAAGGGGAGGAGGCGCCGGGCGGGGCCAGGCAGGAGCTGAGCGGGCGCCTCCCGCGGCCTCTGAGCACAAGCCCAGGATGCCGGCTGCCTGCGGGCGGAGGGGCGGGATGCGGCGAAAGGCCCGGAGCCGAGAGCCGGTTCTGGAGGGCGAGCCTGGCCGAGCCTGGCGCCCGCCGGCCCCTCCGTGTGCGGACCCGCCGGCTGCTCTGGGAGGCTTTGCCCGGCGACCCCCCGGGACTGACGGCAGGCTCCGGAGACAAACGGCCGAGCCCGCCTGGAAGCAAGCGGGGCACCCGAGGCTTGGCCGTTCCCGCCGCCGGGCCGCTCGGGGGAGCCGCTCAAGGCGCGAATCTCGCACGGGCAGTGCAGACCGGGAGGCGCTCTGGACATGGGCAGGAGCGCCCTCTTCTGGTTAAGCGCGGGGGAGCCTCCTGCCTGGGGCCTCTGGGCGCCCATCTCGGCCGTCGCCGCCCCCCCCACCTCCCAGCCCGCGAGCGACGGAGGCCCCGCCCCGTTGCCAGGGCGGTCGTCAGGGGCGGCTGCGCGGCCCGCCCTTCTCGCGAGATTTGGACGCCGGTTGCCTGGAGACGCGGCGGCCGAGCGTCTCCGTCCCGCGGCATCATGGTGAGGCTGCCTCCGCCGGCGGGGCGCCTCGGGCGGGGACTCCGGCGGCGCTGGGCCCGCCCGCCCGCTGGCTGCGCAGGGATGCCTGGGCGCGGGGCTCCGGGCGGGGCGGGCAGGGGGACCCACCGCGGCTCTCCTCGCTCCTCCCCCAGGCGCCCAAGAAGAAGGCCGAGAAGAAAGGCGGCGGCGGCGGCGGCGGCGGCAAGAAGGGCAAAGGCGCCAAAGGGCCGGCGGTGGTGGACGCGCTGCCCCCCGAGGGCATGTCCGGGGAGGGGGGGGGGCGCCCCCGGGGGGGGGGGGGGGGGGGGGGGGGGCCCCCGGGGGGGGGGGGGGCTGCTGGGCTGAGCCTGCGGGGCCTCTTGCAGCTGGAGGAGCACATGGGCCGCATCCGGGAGGAGCTGGACCGCGAGCGCGAGGAGCGCAACTACTTCCAGCTGGAGCGCGATAAGATCCACACTTTCTGGGAAATCACCCGGAGGCAGCTGGACGAGAAGAAGGCCGAGCTGCGCAACAAGGACCGGGAGATGGAGGAGGCCGAGGAGCGGCACCAAGTGGAGATCAAGGTAGGGGTCCGTCCCGTCCCCCCATCCCCTCCTCAACCTGGGCAGGCGGCCTTCGGGGGTCCTCCCGCCCTTCCCCTGAATGCTGCCCGCTGCTCGTGACAGGTGTACAAGCAAAAGGTGAAGCACTTGCTCTACGAGCACCAGAACAACCTCACGGAGCTGAAGGCCGAGGGCACCGTGGCCATGAAGCTGGCGCAGAAGGACCACCGGTCTCAGGAGACGGAGCTGCGCAAAGACATGCGCACCCTGAAGGTGGAGCTGAAGGAGCAGGAGCTGGCCAACGAGATGGTGGTGAAGAACCTTCGCCTGGTGAGTCCTTTGCCGAGAGGGGCTCCCCTCCCTGGCCCCCTCCGGAGCAAGCCAGCCTTGCCTCTGCAGCCGCCTGCGTTTGCCAGACCTGTCACTAAGCAGCGTTGCCATCTTAACAGAAACAGCAAGAAGACCTGACACATCTTCGAAATGACTTTGAAAGACAAGTGAAAGGTCAGTCTGGGGACTGGGCACAGCTCAGTAGCCACGGCTTCATTTCTCAGGCAGACCTAGAAGTGTGTAAGTGCTGCTTTATGGCGGGCAGCCTGAACGATTGCAACTGTATAGTCAAACTTTTTCCTGCGTCTCCAAAGTCGGAGGGCCTGGGCCATCAGCCGCATCAATCTGCAAAGGACTGGCGTTCCATAAAGTTACAGAGACAGCATGCTGCTTTATGGGGTGTGAGATTGTCCAGTGCCTTTGTGGGATCTTCAGGCCTTGGGAACACCTGCCCTGTTTCCTCTAGAGCCATCAGCTAAGGATAGAAACGTAGGCAGGCTGGAGAGTGGAGCATTCAGCCGAGCCTGCTTGGTGCTGCTTCTGCAGAGATTGAGGCCAAGTATGAGAAGAAGATGCGGGTGCTGCGTGATGAGCTTGACCTGCGCAGGAAAACGGAAATCCACGAGATCGAGGAGAGGAAAAACGGTCAGATCAACACACTGATGAAGAATCACGAGAAGGCCTTCAGCGACATCAAGAACTATTACAACGATGTCACCCTCAACAACTTGGCACTGATCAATACCCTCAAGGTAAACCAAGAGCAGCCTTCTCTGCTGGCATCAATAGAGCCGCTGGACCCCTATGTGGGCATGGCTTGGCTGATCTGACTAGAGCAGTGATGGCTAATCTTTTTGCCATCGCATGCCAAAAGTGAGGGGAGTGGGGGGGTCACGTGCGTGTGTGCCCACACCCATAATTTTATGTGCCCCACCCCCCCACGTATGCGCGTGCGACCCCCTCCCACGCCGCCCCCCCACGGTTTTGGCAAGTGATGGCACAATGGGCCAGGTAGACCAATTTTTGTCTCTCCCCAGGCTCCAGAGCCTTCTAGGAGCCTGGGGAGGGCAAAAATGGCCTCCCCCCACTGGAGGCCCTCTGGAGGCCGAAAATAGCCTGTTTGCCGACTGATGGGCCCAGAAGGCTTACAAATCAGCACACTGGAGCTGAGCTTGCGTGCCCACCGATATGGCTCCACGCATGCCATAGGTTTGCCATCACGGGACTAGAGCATTCACACCGTCCCTAGTGGGCCAGCCCCTGCTGTAATTGGAAGCTTTGCATTCCTTTATTAGCACGGGGCAGGTGATTATGTGGAGCTGTTTTTAGAGGTCTATTGACTCGGGTATCAGTTGTGTGAAAAATAATACAGTAAAATCCACAGTAGGGTTCCATTAGGAAATGGACCAAAGAACACACAAGAGCTTTGTGTTGTCCTATCATCCTGCCACGGCTTGGCCTTTTATAAGTTCATGTGGGATCGGAATGGAGAAGGAAGCATTGGAGGGGAAGTGGCGACTGCTGGGCTTGAAGGTCTGAGATGCTCCCCCCTCCTTCAATTCCCTGGAACACAGGAGCAGATGGAGGAGATGAAGAAGAAAGAGGATCACTTGGAGAAGGAAATGGCAGAAGTGTTGTTGCAGAACAAGAGGTTGGCGGAGCCGCTGCAGCGAGCCCGGGATGAGGTCTCTGAGCTGCAGCGGAAGCTGGCTCACTACGAGAAAGACAAGGCCATCTTGGCAGTAAGCGGCAGGGCCCTTGGGATTGGGACAGGCATTCGAGCAGCTCGTAGGGCAGTGGATGGCTGAGGTGACCTAATGCCAGCGCCTAGAGCTACTGTGGCCCTCTTCAAAGTGGTGCGAAAGTGTCATAGGGAGAAAAAAGTGAAGGGTGGGCGCTTTCTCCTCGTGCTGCCGCTTTTCTGCAGACCACCTGAATGGAGCTCCTGGGCTATGAACAGTTGATAGACCCCTTGAGGTCTTCAGTGGCATGGGGCAGGTTCAGCAGAGGTTGCTATTCCCGGAATGAAAGTTGAGGGGTGTAAAAGAACCTTGGAGACCCCTTTCACGTTCTTACCCTCCTTTTGTGTGTTCTGCCCCACAAGTGTTCTTCATTCCCACAACCCACAAAGGTCTCGCAGCTCTTCTGAGCCCCCTTTCCCCCCCACCCCAGAGTATTCGGGCCCGGCTGAAAGTCTCTGAGAAAGACCTGAAGGATCTTCAGTGGGAGCATGAAGTGCTGCAGCAAAGATTTGGCAAGGTGAGGGCTGAGGGCCAGTCTCTGCTTGGTGGTTGATCCTGGCATGGGCAGATGGGAGGGAGCGAAAAGCCAGCCTGCTTCTGTAAATAACCACAGGAACTCTCCCCCACTGTGTGCTGGCACACTTGGCATAGACTGAAAACTGCTTGGAGGTGGGTCACCCTCTGCGTTAATCTTCACGCTCGGCCTTTAGATGCTGAAGACGTTTTCTGCCTGCAGAGAGGGCTCTGCTCCCGAGCAGTTCTTTCTTTGCTGATATTTCCCTACCCGTCTTCTATCTGGGTGCTGGGCATCCTTAACAATAGCCACACAACCTGATGCTGGAAATCGCTTAATGCTCTCTGCTGTTGACGTTAGAGGGATGTTGCCTTGCTGACTTGTCTCCACAGGTTCAGGATGAGCGTGATGACCTGTACCAGAAGTTCACCAAAGCCATTAACGAGGTACAGCAGAAAACTGGCTTCAAGAATCTGCTGCTAGAGCGGAAGCTGATTGGCCTCGCCAGCCTCCTGGAGAAGAAGGAAGTGCAGCTGAATGAGGTGTTGGCTGCCTCCAATCTCGATCCAAGCGCTCTCACGGTGGTCACCCACAAGCTGGAGGTACGGGACCCTCCTCCCTGTCCCTACTCTGCTGGCCAATTTCTGGTCTGGCCAGAGTGTGGAGATCGGGATCTCAGCAACCTGACCCGTTTGGTGAGCAGCTTAGGCATTCCAGGCACCGTTGGCGCCAGTAACGGGAGATGCATCCCGGCAGACCTGCCCCTCCTTCCAGCAGCTGCTCTTGCTGTCAAGCGCTCTGCATTCTTGTGCTCAGCTGCCGCTCGTGCAGGAGGCACCTCCGCTGCCCGGGCTGGACCCGGCACTCAGCCCATCAGACATGCTCTGGGTTGCAGAGTTTTCATTCCGTTTCTTAGGGGCCAATCAGCCTCACTGTGGCTTCCAAAGCAGAGGGAACAAGATGGGGGAAGGGCGCAAGAAGGAAAGGTTAGGGACCCACCCTGGCCAGCAGGACCAACACAGCTGTTTTGCAGCGGGGCCTTGAATGTGCTTGTAACAGGCCTGTGTTTTTCCTTCGCAGGATGTGCTGGATTCCAAAAACAATGCTATCAAAGACCTCCAGTACGAGCTGGCCAGGGTCTGCAAGGTAAGAGCTGCGAGTGAGAGGAGCCTCGCTGGGGGAGGCCAGGTGCAGGTCAGCTGGGACACCTGCTCCAGCACCAGAGCCGTGGGGCATTCAGAGATCCTTTGGTGGGGAAGCCGCTTCTGCTTGTAGCATCATGGAGCCCTGCGGTATTTGGAGTGCTACTGGAGTCCCCTCTAGACCTGTTGGACTGCAGCCTTTCCAGATGTTTCACTCCTGGGGAGGACAGCTGCCCATGCTTGCGGAGCTGCCTCCTGGAGAAGCCTGGCAGAATGCCCCCTCAGCCCAGGCCTGCAGTTGTCCTAGGCAACAGGGAGAGAGAGCGGGCGCTGCCTTGCCTGTGCAAGGCAGGCTCCAGAAGGGAGACCTGAACTGTCCCTCGGGGGGGGAGGGTATTCCTTTTCGGTCCCCTCTTTGCCCTCACAGCCCACCTCTCCCCTCCCTCACAGGCACACAACGATTTGCTGCAAACCTATGAGGCGAAGCTGATCTCCTTTGGGATCCCCTTGGACAATCTGGGCTTCAAACCCCTCGAGACCTCCCTGCTGGGACACGCCCTCGGCCAGGGCCCTGCAGGATTTGTCTCGACCCCCACATAGCAGAGCTGGGAAATCCTCCTCAGAAGACGAGCCAAGCCAAGGCTCCTGCGGCCTTTGGGGGTCAGTGGAGGAAGCGGCCCACCCAAAAAAGAGACTGGGCTCTCCTGCATGCCTTTTGTATTAAAGTCTTAAGGGCCCTTTTTGTACATGGCTCACGTGCAGGAATCTTTCATTTACCCTCACAACACCCCTTCAAGGTAGACCTTTTATTAGTCTTGGGTTTCCTCAGAGGACAGCCTGAGCTGGCATCACAGCTGGCCTTGGGGGCAGTCCCGGACCTCAAAGCAGCCCTCCTGAGGGAAGCCGCAGCTCTCGCATTAGCTCCCCCGGTAGGTCACATAGGAATAGGGGCTGAGCAGCAGCGGGATGTGCACCTTTCGTTCGGCCGCTGTGAGGGTGAAGACCACCTGCAACAAGCAAAGGTGAAGAGTTGCTGGACCTCTTGGGCTTGGCTGGGGGACCTTCCTGGCTGCGGAAGCCCAAAGGCCCAAGCACCACAGCCTGTGGCCATTCAGGGGCCCCAGGACAACAGGACGACCCAAGTCGCTCGCTCTTGTGCAGCTGAAACAAAAACTTACTTCCACATAAGGGTAGAAGCTGGTGAGGCCCTGTTGCTGCCAATACTCCCCCGTGGCAAAGCGCAGCTTGTAGGTGCCACTTTCCAGCTGCAAGGAGGCCAGCTCGCTCCTGTCCATGCGCCCGTCCGTGCTGGTCGCACTGCAATCAGAAGACAGCGGGTGAGGCTGTGGGGCTCCCAGCTGGCCAAGGGAGGCAGGGGCTCCCCCATCTCCCCACCTGGTCATTAGCTCCATCCAGGCCTGGTCGGGGGCTCGGAGCTGAGAGAGGTGCACAGCTAGGCCGGTGGCAGGAAGGCCAGTGAACACGTTCAGCGCATGGACGCTCAGGGATGTGTGGTGGCCTTCGCTGGGACTGGCAACCTGGATCGAAGCAGAGAGCCCTGCGTGAGCACCACCCTCCCCGACAGAGCTTGTTCCTGCCCCTCGCAGCCCCCTCCCTACCACAGGAAGCCGAGGGGGAGGACGCTGCTGTCCCCAGAAGGGCTAGGCTTCTGCAGGCCTGTCCAGTTGCCTGGGCGATGCCCCCCCTCCCCTGAAGTCTCCCTTTTCTGCCGGCCACATTGCTGGGGTGGGACTGCCGGATTTACCTGGGGTCGCCTTCCATCCTCATCTGGCAGTCTGTCCATTTTTGGCTTTCTCAATCCCGCCCCTTCCTGCGGAGGCCTGGCAGGGAGCCAGCTGTGACTCGGCAGGAAGTATTAACCCTGCCAGGGCCAGCTGTTACTGGCAAGGAGCGCTTGACGGGTCTGTTCTTGGTGGCAGAGTTTCTAGCTTTCTGGGGGGCAAAGCGCAGATCCAGGGAAGAACAACGAAGGGAAGCAGACCTGGCACTGGGATGGAGGCCTCCCAGCAGGTTCTCAAGAGTTACCTGGATCACTGCTTTTGCAGTGGTGGAAAGGCCATTCCCCGCCATATCCATGGCTTGCACAATCAGGGTGTACTTGGGGGCTTTCTGAAAGAGAGAATTTCATTGGGGAGGGAGGAACAAAGCCCCCGAGGCTAAAAAGAGGCATCTACTCAGACCCTGGGTCTTCAGGATGGCAGAACTGCTGCCGTGGGTCCAGACACTCTTAAGGCAAGGGTGGCTTAAAAGTCAACCCTTATTGCCTACGCAAAGCTGTGGCTCAGAAAAACTAGGAAGGCGAGCGGAGGGCAAGGGGGAACGATCCCTCCTTCCCAGCCATTGACCGGCTGTGGCCGAGGCCCCCGCTGAGGGGTGCAGAGTGGCCGCCGAGAAGCCCTGCAGGCTGGCCTTCCGATTGCTTTTGACTATTGGGGGGAGGAGTGTCCATCACAGGATCTGCATGTCTTAGGTGGGTCATCACCCCAGTCGGCCCCCAGCTGCTCACTCACCTCTCTGTCCAGGCCGGCTTTCTTCAGGGAGATGAGACCCGTTTCCGAACTGATGGTGAACATATCTCCGACTGGTTCTGGGGGCTCCTGGCTGAGAATAGAATAAGATACGACCCCATTGAGAGTGTCCACCGGGTCATCTTCGTCTGTGGCCGACACCTGCATCACCGGAGTACCTGGACAAGCACAGCAAAGCCCATTTTAGGAGGCAGTTCATCGCCCCATTTTAGGAAGCAATGCATCGCCCCAGCCCAGCCGGAGATGCTGCCCAGGCAGTTGGATCATTCAGTCTCGTGGGCAGCAAGTCCTGAGTTCTGCAGGCTGCCAACCTTGTGGTACCCCATGGCCCAGCTCTACGGTGTGGGAGAGTCCTTGCAAGCTCCCCAAGAGTACTGCCCAGGTTTGCCAGTCTCACATGCGTGCAATGCAGGAGTCAAGCAGGAGCCCAGCCCCATCCGCGCCTGTCAGCCGAAAAAGCCTCTGGCTTCTGGGCAGCTACCAGCACCCCCAGCTGTCGCAGGGATTGACCACTTAATCCCACAGGGGCACGTATGAGCGGGCATTGGCTGGACAGTCCAGGTCTGAGGTGGCGGTCCGGATGGCTTTGAGCAGGACTGTCCTTCATGGTCCAGGAGGGATTGTGCCTGTGCCACGGAGGGTAGCCACGCAACAGGAGCCAGGTTTTGGGGTCCACGACCAGACTCCCCTACCTGGTTTAGCTCCCTCTTCCACGGACCCTTCGAAGACGCTCTGGGTGAATATGGGACGGTTGTCATTCTGGTCACCAACATTGATGATCACCTCCATGGGGTCCTCTGCTGTCTGGCCATTGGCTAAGACCGCGTGGCAAAACAGCTGCATGGAAGGCGGAGAAAGGCCGTTATTCACCAGGGGGAGAAGAGAAGCCGGAGATGCATCCGGGCAGCATGTTTCACGGAGCTCAACAGTTCTTGGCACCCAGCACTGCCGGCTCTGGGGAGGCTGCCCCAAAGGACGAGGGAGGATCTCGGAAGCCCTGGGACCCCTTAGAGACCACCATGAAAGGAGATGGGAACTTTTATGGGACAGAAAACACAGAGGCTTTAGGAAAGTGGTGGCTTTCCTCCAGAGTCGCCTGCTTCTAAACGGGGTTTCTTCGAGGGTTTTCTGGTAGGAAAGGAACCCCTCTGCCATCAAAAAGGGACTCATCCCAGTGGAGCGGCCAATGGCCTGGCAGCTGTCCTGGCATCCCAGAGGACACAGTGACCTTTGCCCTCCCACCCAATCCACGTGGCCGATTTCCAAGGATTTCCTCGGCCACCCAGTGCAGCCGCCAAAAACTGAAAGCAAAATGTGTAACGGCAGCAGGTGACGTGGGCTCACCTGGTAGCGGGGAATCTTCTCCCTGTCCAGCGGGCGAGTCACCTTCAGCCAGCCGGTTTCCCTCTCGATGGTGAAGGTGCCAACTGGAGGGCTGTCGGCCCCCTGCCCAGTGATGCTATAGTAGACGGTGCCCTCTTTTTCTTTGCTGGATTTGACCTGATTGGGGAGATGAGACGTGGAAAAGGTCAGGGACGGGGTGGGCCTGCAGCCCTTTCCACCCTCCAGGGCAGGTGCCAGGGGCGGCCTGGGGCAGAGCAGACGGTGGCAGCGGCATTGCCTGGCCCAGGATAGAAATGCAGGCCCCAAAGCTCGGCTGAAGTGAGAGCCATCCAAGGGGTTCAGACCAAATGTCCACTCGGCGCCGCCACAAGCTGCAATGTTTGGGGTCCTGCATTTGTGGGTCATTTGCAACTCTGAAGTAGAAATAACTAACTTTAAAATGTGCAAGAGAATCCCAGTAGAAGGTGGCAGAAGCAAGGTTCTTACCGGCGCCAGGTTCTTGGGGAAAGGGCCCCTCTCATTTTCAAATAAAATAATTGGAGGGATGACCCAGTCTCTCTTTTGCCGCCTCAAGCCAGGCCCAGATCCTTGGAAGAGCAGCACCTCCGCCTGAGCAGACAGATGGGTCTCCTGTGAATAAAGACAGGGGGCTCTGGTTCCGGAAGGGAGGGGGAGCTGGCGAGTTAGACTCCCTTTTGAGTAGTGAGGGCTTTAAGGGGCAGCAGAGAAAGAGGCTGCCCCGGGGATTCCTTGCTCCCCAGAAAGGCCTGTGTCCCAGCAGAGAGACCTTGCCCCAAGGCTTCATGTTCCAGGTCTATGGCTAAAGTGAGGAGCAGCCTAAGCTCCCCCAGTCTCCCCTTTGCCAACCTCCTCCCTTCTATCACCACAGCCTTTGGGGCTCATTTTTCTTCTTTGGAGCAGCAGTGAGAATTGGAGAAAACTCCCAGCAGTGGACTGGACGGGGCCCTTTCCACAAAGTGTTGGCCTCTTCTGGTCCTGCAGGGATTCCTCCAGCTGGAATTGCCCATCTGGACTTGTGGGTCTCTGCAAGTGCTGCCATGAACAGCCTTTATTTTCTTCCACTTACTTGGTTTTAGGAAGACGTTTTGCTTCTAAGCTTTAATTTCATAAAGCAAATCATCTAGTTGATTGGGACTTTTTCAGTGGTGGGATTCAGCCAGTTCGCACCACTTCGGGAGAACCGGTTGTTAACTTTCTGAGCAGTTTGGTGAACTGGTTGTTGGAAGAAATCATTAGGGCAGAGAACCAGTTGTTAAATTATTTGAATCCCACCACTGGACTTTTTCCTAGGTACCTCAGAAAGGAGCAGCATGGATTTGACTGGGGGAGGGAGGGGGGAGAGGAAGGAGATCGGGAAAAGGGAGGGAGGGGGAAGGAAGGAAGGAAGGAAGGAAGGAAGGAAGGAAGGAAGGAAGGAAGGAAGGAAGGAAGGTTTCCTTCTGAGAGGCAGGATGAGTAAAAAAGGAGATGGGATTATGGAATCCACACTTCATCTAAGAAAGCCTCCTCCCTCCCCCTTTGCCTGGGCAGCTGAGAGGAATGGGCCGTTTTGTAGCAAGGATCACATTTGACTCGTGGGCAACCTTTTGGGCTCAGGATTGCATCCCTGCTTCTCTCTGTGCACTCCAACACACCACACCGCCTGCTTTCACATCAGAGGAAAGCTGTGACAAAGCTTTGTGTAACCCAAGAGTGTCCTCTAAAGCACCTGACAAAATACATCCGGGAATTCAGGCTATTTTGCCCCAGAAAGCTGCCTATTTAATTTAAGCCTATTTATATAGTGGCACAATAATTATTAGCTGTCATCTTTATCAGCCACTAAAAGCTTTTGGGAATGCAGGATGGTCCACTTGTGAGCTGGATCCAGAATATCAGTGTTCCTTCTCTGGTCTCCCCAAGGATGCTGGTGATCGCTCACCCTCTCTGGTCTATAAAAGTGAGTTAGCACAAAGGAAAAAAGTGCAGTGTGGACTTACCTAAGCAGAAGTCAGAGATAACTATTTCCAACCACCACCCCTGCAGTGAATTCTGAACTGGGCTAAAGTCAAGATCATCTTTGAGCAGATGATAATATATAACTGGCTTGGTTAGGCTGACTGTACTTGGAAATCTGTGTAGATGGTTGTCATCTTCCTCATTTTTCCTGTGTTTTGTCTTTAGAACTTTTTATGTTTAGAGATTTGGTTCTCTTAAAGGGAACTTGTGTGCATGACTGTGATAGTGAAGATAACCCTTGTGATTCAGCTTTATTGATTTCCTGGACTTTGAGCAAGAAAGCAGTTTCTGCTCTTCTTTCCTGGTGGAAGGGTCATGGACACCCCAGGAAAGAGATATCAGGAGGTTTTTCCTTGCAGAAAGAGGTCTCCCCGCTGAAAGTGATTCCCACCCCCCATGCATAGATGAAACATCTCAGCAGGGACACACGATCCGTGGAGGGGGAGGGGAGCATTACCCACAGTTGCATACCCACCTCCTTCCTCTGATTTCCTTGTAACTCTAGCTAGGTGAGACTCCTCCTCTTCATACCTGAGAAGTGGAGGGACAGGACCCCAAGACTCTCCCAACCTCGTTCTGCCTTGCTACTTAACAGGTCTGCAGTGGTTTCTTCCATGAGGCTGTGTGTTCGCAGTGCATGGAAAATATCTCCTGTCCTGTTTAAAGTTTAAAGTTTGCTGCCCCTGCGTCACCCTTAGGAAACTCTGTATTTGTTTTAAATGGGAGAAAAACATCAGGATAAAGGCAGCTGGTCTGTGTGGGCCCTGCAGCTTATTGTGCACTGTGACCCTGTGGGTCTTCAGTGAGAAAGGTTGAAGAATTTGCTTGGCAAACAAAGCAGCTTAGGCCCCTCCCCTGAATGTTTTGCTGTTCCATTGAAGGTCACCCTGTGGAGTCCTGGCCCTCTTTCTGGGGGAGGGGGAGCAGCGTTGGTCCTCCCAGCATAAGTGCCCCAGTTCTGGAATGACTCTGTGAAAGCTTTCTTAGGGGCGAGGCTGCTGCCCAGCAATGATCCTTTGCTAGACTTTGAATCTTAGTGGCCGTTGCTCCTCTAAAGGTTTTGTTATGAAGGAATGAGTGGTCTTTGCATGCAGGATCTCGATTAAGCCCTCAGGGGCTCAGTGCAACCACCGCATGGCTGACTTTTTCTTTCCAAGCAGCAGAACAGCATCTTCCGGGCTCCCAGAGTTGGTGCTTGGAACCTGCTGCCTGGAGATGAAGAACTTCCCCATCCGTGTGGAGTCTCTCCTACTCCATTTCTTTCCCCAGAGAGCCGGGGGGGGGGGGAGAGGTTAGGGGTCTATCCTGCTCTGCAGCTACTACGGGTGGGCCAGTCTGCTGACTTTACAGCCAGACTTGCCTGAACTCTATTGCTGGCGAGGAGCGGTTGAAACAAACCGCTCAACTCCATGTTAGCTCATTGATGCCCCCTTTTCCAGTACCTGCATCGCCTGTCTCGCCCCTCCCTGCCGGGATCCCACCCATGACAACCGTACCTGAAGGAGGAAGGTGAGGCAAAGCAGCAGCATGATCCTCAGGCAGCCCATCGTCCTCTTCCTCTGCCCTCCGTTGTGGCCAAGTAGCTAGCAGGTGGGTATAATTGCAGGGCAAAAGTCTGTTTGTGTTAGCATTTTAGCAGAGGCAGATAAGCCAGGGCCAAGTGCCAGGGCGCACTCTTCGAATTGGAGGAAGAGTCACCAAGAAAAGGCCTCTCGAGGCACAGGGCTTTGGGCAGAGGTTGTCTTGAGCGCTCTGCAGGCGGGAAGCCTCCTTCTAGGGTCAGGCGGTGCCGCTTGGACTCTAACAAAAGCAGGCGCCTTATTGTCAGTTTCAAAAACAAGCTGGGATGTAATCCTGTGAAGTCACATTGTCTCTTTCTGATTCTCCCAAAGGTGCTTTTTCCAAAAGGCAACTGGAGTTTCTTGGTTTTTTTCCTTTGAAAACATTTCACTTCTAATCCAAGAAGCTTCTGCAATTCAGTTCATTTTTGGGTTTGTTTTTTTTTTCTTTAGGAAAAAGCACCTTTGGGACAACCATGACCTGGATGAAGGGGGGTCTCCATAGATTTTCTGATTCCTTGTTTGCCTGCTCTAGAGACAGAGGGGCCTCCCCACTTCCCCTCTCCCTCCCTTGTTGTGTGGGCAGAATAGAAATCTGGATCCGGTAGATCACCAGAGGACTTCAAGAGATCCCTGACTGTGCCAGGCTTTCCAGGAACAGCAACTACAAATGAGGTTGATAAAGAGAAGCACTGCAGGGAGATGCCACCAGAGGGCGCTCTCAGAGTATTCTGCCTGCTTCCCTCTCCTCAACACCCACTTGAGGTTTTTAATTGAAGGAAACCCCAAAATGAGTGGTTTTTATTCCCACCGAGAGGATGGTTGGATAGCAGCCAAAGAAAGAGGAAAACTATTTACATACCTGCTAACTTTTGGGATTGAAAGGCACAAGGCCTAGGGCAGTGACAGCTAACCTTTTTGCCATCGTGTGCTGGGGGGGTTCATGCGTGCGCGTGCCCACATCCATAATTTATGCACCCTGCCCCTGCGCATGCTACACCCCCCCCACTCCCGGCACGTGATGGCCTGGTAGACCCATTTTTCTCTCTCACCTGGCTCCAGAGCCTCTCTAGGAGTTTGGGGAGGGCAAAAACTGCCTTCCCCACCCCTCCGGAGGCCCTCCAGAGGCCAGAAATGGCCCATTTGCCAATTTCCGGTGGGACCGGAAGGCCTGATTTTTCCTGTCCCCAGCTTCCAGAGCCTCTCTAGGAGTCTGGGGGGGGTGAAAACGGCCTTGCCCACCCCCCGGAGGCCTTCCAGAGGCCAGAAACGAGCCGTTTACCGACTTCCGGACTCTGGAGGGCCTCCGGGGGGTGGGGAAGGCCGTTTTCGCCCTCCCCAGACTCCTAGAGAGGCTCTGGAGCCAGGTTAGAGAGAAAAACAGGCCTTCCCCACCCACCCCAAAGACCCTCCAGAGGCAGGAAACAACCTGTTTCCCTACTTCTGGTGGGCCCAGAAGGCCCGAAAATCAGCTGGCCGGCGCACACATACATGCCAGAGCTGAGCTCGCATGCCCACTGATATAACTGTGGCATGCATGCCATAGGTTCGTCATCACGGGCCTAGGGCCTACAAGCGTGTGTGTCTGTGTGTGTGTGTGTGTAGCATGCTGGACAATTGCCTTTTAGTTGACTGGCTTTTAAGAGCAGCTTTACTTCTGATCAATACATGGAGTAAGTCAGGGTCAAGATGGCGGCTTTTGGCTTCCCTCTGCAGATCTCCCAGAATCAGAGGCTGAGAGCCCATGCAAGGGGGGCTTTCTGTTCTGCTATGGGTGTCCCCCTGACCCCTCTGGACCCTGACCGGGTCCCTTCCTGGGTTTCTAAGGCAGTACATGAGCGGGCCCAGCGGCCTCACTTGTGAGCGGGAAGCCAGGCTCTAAGAAGTTGCAGAAATATGTTGTTGCAGCATGTGTGTTTGTGTGTGTGTATACATACGTACACCAAGTGCCTCATCAAAGGGGAGATGACAAGTCTGGATTTGCTCACTGCCTTTGGGCAGGTGGGAGTGCTGCATCTTGGCACCCCATTGATGGCTGTTCTCTCATCCTCTTACCTGGCTGAAGAAGAGATTCGGGGGGAGGGGCTTGCGGGATCCTGCCAAAAATTGTCTCTGAGCTTGCTCTGGACTAGACTTTGCCTGCCTCACGATTCGCCTTTTCCATGGAAGTGCTGCTGCTTCTGTTGCCTAAACCCTGGAAGCTTTTCCGTTGCTGTAGACTTAAGAGACCTTGCCCTCCTCCCCCCACCGAGCAATGATCCCATCCGATTGGCATTTGCAAATGTAATCTTGATCTCCTTTGCTCACCAAGGGCCTGAGCCCTTCATTCATCTCAGGGCCTCTCCTTGGATACAGGCAGCAGCAGCTTTCCACACTGAGGCCTTCCGCAATCCAGGCCTCTCTCACAACAGCCCCTTCCCCAGGTTCCTCAGAAGAGTCAGGCTCCAGGAGCCCAGAGACCCCTGCTCTCCGCCCACTTCAAGCTGCTCTGGGAAGTCCAACTCCCAAAGAAACTGGGGTGTGTGTGTGTGTGCTGGGCTGATGGAGGAACGGGGGGGGGGGGGGGAAATGGGGACAGAAAGGCAAGGGGAATACTTGCCTGTGTCTGTGCACACTTTCTTTGTCCAGACTGTAAATCCTTTTGTATAAGCCAGGCAAGAAGTATATACATTCACTGGTATCCATACATATTGCAAATAACATAAAACAGTGTTTTGCATTCTCCAGGACTCTCTTTTTGCTCAGTGACTGAAAACTTTAATATACTTTATACTATCCAAATGCCATTTAAAATATCTCTGATATTCCAATTTTTAAAATGCCAATTGTAGTTTTTAGTTGTTTAGGTCCTGCCTCCTGCCCATTACCTGACTAGGTGCAAAAAATGGCACCCTACCCCACGGATTCCCTGGAAGAACCTCAGCACCCCCCGCCCCACCCCGCTTGGTGGTGGGGTGGAAAGCGGCCTCACAGAAAGGCCCGGCCCGGCGGCGGCTCCTGTCTCAGGGTTGGTGGAAGACACCGGGGCAGCTCCTTTGGCACAAGGGGCAGAAGCGGGCGCTGCCTGCTTCGTTCCTGGCCAGAAGCGGACTGGTTGGGGGGGGGCAGGAGGGAGGGGGTTCTGCCCGGTGGGCGCCGGCTCCTTCGGCCCTTCGGCAAGCGACCCTCCGCCTCCCTTGGGTCTCGCCGTCGCCCTGCCTGCTGCCCCCTCCGCTCCCTGCCCTCCGGCTCCTCACGGCGCCGCCGCGGCTGCGGGGAGAGGCCGGCTGGGGGCCGAAGGGCGAGCGGCGGAGGGGTCCTGGGGGAGCCGAAAAGGGGACCCCACCCGAGCGACGGGCACGGCTGCGGGGGGAGGGGCGGGGACCGGCTTTTGGGGCCGCGGGAGCCGCCTCCGTCGGGCCCGATCAAAGGAGCGGAGGCTCTCTCGCACGCCGGGCAGGCCCGGCCGATCCCTGCGCCCTGGCGGGAGGGGAGAGGGGAGGGGGCGGCGGGGGGCGGGCCAGCCGGAGCCCCGCCCGCGGAGCCTCACCTGGCGCGGCGCCTTTAAAGGCCTGGCAGGGCAGGCGGAGCCCATTCAGGCAGCGGGCGCGCGAGGGGAGCTGCTGCTGCTGCTGCTGCTGGGCATCCCTCTCCTCGACGGCAGCGATGGGCTGGCGCCGGGCTGCGCGCCTCCTCCCCCTGGCCTTCCTCGTCCTCCTCCAGGTGAGCGCTCTCCCGGACCTTCCTTCCCGACGCCGCCCGGCTCTTGCGGAGCTCCGCGGCGCCCGGGGGGGAGGGAGGGAGGGAGGGAGGAGGGGGGCTTAGGCCTGAGCCCGCCCATTCTCTCCCCGCAGGTGGACGGCCGCCTGGCCGCCTGGCTGCCCCCGAGCCGCTGCGGCTTCGTCTTGGCGGTGCCCGACGGGCGGCTGAGTCCGGGCCAGCCCTTGAGCGGAGGTAAGCCCGGGCGCCTCTGCCTGCTTCGTCCTGGCTGCCCCGCCCCCCCCCGAGACTCCAGCCCCTCCGGAGGCCCCCTTCGGCCCGCCCGCCGCTCCTTCTCCCCCCGCGGGGCTCGGCTGGCTGGGGGCGGGAAGCCGCTGCCGCCTTCGGGGGCCAGGTACGTGCCCCTGGCGGGCGGAACTGGCTGCCCCCTTCCGGACAGGAAGGGCAGCGGCTGGCCGGGGGTTCCTGGGGGGCTTTTCCTCCCGCTCCCTTCCCTGGACGCCCGTCGAGCGGGGAGGCGGCCTGAGTTCAATTCCAGACCGATTGGGAACTCGTGGGGGGGGGGCGGGGGGGCTGTGCTTGTGGCGGCTGCTCCTTTTCCAAACTTTTCATCCGTTTTGCGCCTAAAGCTCCGAATCGAGCCGCCTCGAGTGGTCGCAGGAGTCCTCCAGGGATAAATGCCGATGAACTTGGGGTTTCTTCGAAAGTGAAGGATTTAGTCTGTTAGGATCTCTTAACGCATCGGTTGCTCGATGGCGATTCTCCTTCGATCTAGTGTGGGGGAGGGGCAGCTTCCTTGGGAATGGGGGAGGGGGCTGGGGCAGAGGGAGTTAAGGGATTCCTGCTAGGGACCTCCTCTGCTTTGGGGGGTTTTTTTGCTGGTCCTAACTTGTTTAAGTCGTCCTCCCCTCCCCCCCGCCCCTTGAAGGGGGTTGCAGTTAAAAGCAAGAGAAATAATTCCTCCTGCTGCAACAGTAAGGGAGACTGCTGGGAGTGAAGTGTGGTTTCCACCCTCACCCCCTTTGAGTTGCCCTGTGAGTGGGGCTAGGCTGAGCAAGCAGGGACAGGCTGGGGGTTGCAGAATGGAGGCCTTTGCCCCAGCACCCAATGCCTCCTCAGCCCCTTTCCTCCTGGCCCAGTGGTATCCCCGCAGCCATTGTCTGAGAGCCCCCCCCCCAGCTCCCGGAAGGGGCTGTTGTTGTGCAAAACAGGCCCATTGTGCCCCAAACAGAGGCTGGTCTGTTTCTGCTTCAGCACTGGATCCTGCCAGGAATCCCTTAACTCCCTCTGCACCAGCCCCTTCCGTCCTGCAGCCCAGAGCTGCCCTGGTCTCTCCAAGGCCTGGAAGGAGGACTGGCGGGGAGGGGACTTCTGCCTCACCCAGGATTTGGAAGCAGCGGACACCAGCCTGGGTCTCTCCCAGGGCCTGGTGGGTTGCCTCTGAAGCCCAGTGCGCAATCTAGTGGCTCTTTATGGTCAGCACCTGGGGCTTTTAGAAGGGAAGAGTTCCCCCCCCATGAGTTATTCTCCCCTCCTCTGTAATTCCATGTGAGGGACTTGGAAGTTGTCCCTGCAGACCTCTGTCCCTCTCAGGGTGGGAGCTCTCCCTTTCCGGGCTCCCGTCTCTCTTCTGCTGCTTTGGGGAATAAGAGGCAGTTGCAATACCTGGAAACTCCCGAGTTCTACCCTCTTAGCTCCATCCGGACAGCTGCTTTAAAGTCTGAAGTCCTGGCAAAACTGGTGGCGGGTTGATTCAGAGGCAGGGGATTAGGGCGCTGGCATGGCTTTCCCTCAGCCAGGGAGTGTGGCTAACTTTAGCCCCCATCTTTCTCATTTGAGGATTGGTTATCACCTTTAAAGCGCTCCATGGCATAGGGCCTAGCTATCTCCGAGACCGCCTGCTGCCACCGACGACCTCCCATCGACCCGTGCGCTCCCACAGAGAGGGCCTCCTCGGGGTGCCATCAGCCAAACAATGCAGGCTGGTGACCCCCAGGGGGAGGGCCTTCTCTGTGGGGGCTCCCACCCTCTGGAATCAGTTGCCCCCTGAGATAAGGAGAATCCATGACCTCAGTGCCTTCCGCCGTGCCCTTAAAACCTTCCTTTTCCAACAAGCCGGGCTGGCCTAATTCTTTTTACATGTTTTTTAATTGTTTGGTTTATTGTTTTAATTAATGGGGCCAAATTTATATATATTTTTTAACTGTATTTTAATATTTGTATTTGATGTTTTTATTTGGCTGTTCACCGCCCTGAGTCCTCAGGGAGAAGGGCGGTATACAAATTCAAAAATAAATAAATAAATAAATAAACTCTGGGGGTGGCCCTCGCAGAGAGGCTGGGGGGCTCTTCCAGAGAGCCTCAATAGAGATGTTCTTTCCAGCAGTCGTGAGTGACGATGGGCCATCAAGTCATTGTTAACTGACTGCTGGATACACAGGCAGTTCTGTCCCTGAGCTACTCTGAGTTGTGAATGTGGTGCATTTTTTCACTGTGACTTTTGCTCCGAAAGATCCTTGCAATATAAGTATGTCAAGGTGTTTGTGCTCTGTCGGGTCAGAGGTCAGTGGGCCATTCCTGCACCCCCTCCCCACTAAATAAGCCTGGTGTTTACTGAGACATGTAGAGACAGACTAATCTGCCACCTGGGTGTGTTTTCCCCACCTTTCCGGCAGCTTGACCTGTGATGGAGGGGCCTTGAGATGAGATAAGAGCTGTTGCCCTGCAGGCGGCAGCCTTAAAATTCCAGGGACCCTGCAGAAAGGGGAAGGGGTGGCCTGTCAGCCCCCCTCCCCGCCCACCTCCTGGCCATGCTTAGGAAGAGAGGCAGGGAGCAGGGGGAGCAGACCATTTCCCCCTCACCCCTGCCACCGATATGAGGCGTCCTTGGCCAGGAGGGGAGCAGGCTCCTCATAGCCCTTTGGTGGGGGAGGGAAGAGGCAGCTCTGAATGGGCAACCAGGACAGGGCAAAGAGTGAGTGGCCAGCCAGCTTCTCCTTGAGCTGGGAGGAGCAGGCAATTAAGTGCGCCAGTGGCTGTTTGTCCACACTCTGTAGGGCCAAGGGGCAAAGCGTGGGGGGGGGGCTTTCTGCTCCGCTGTTGGCCAGTCTTCTGGGAAAGAGAGATTTCCACTAATGGCATGCAGAGGGTTGGCATGCTAATGGCTGCCAAATGGGTCCGATTCCACTAAGTGGGGAGAGGCGCTCTGACCTCCTCCTGCTTCCTGGGCAGAGAGCTGGTTCTCTCCAGCTGAGCCACCGGCCCTTCTTCCCCACTGCTGGGCGGAGGGGCCTTCCGTGGCTGCAAAGCGGGTGGGGAGTGGCTCTGTGGATGGGTGGGGGCTTCCGGTGTCCTGAGAGGGCCTTGGCTGTTCAGAGCCATTGGCAGCCTTGGCAGATTGGCTCTTGGAGCAACCTCACACCGTCCCAAGGCAGGTCAAGGTGGGGTGACCTGGGCTGCTGTGATTGCTCTGTCCTGAGTGCTGAAAGAGGCGGGGGGGTGTTGGGTGTTGGTGTAGGACAGTGCTGCCTTTCTCTTTCTTGGAACCAGTGAAGTCTTTGGGGAGGGGGTGTCAGGTTGGCCCCTATAGCAGGCAAGGCTAGAGGCCCCTTCCTCTTGCCAGCTATGGGGGCGAGGTAGCTTTCCCTGGTGAGATGGGGGGGGGGACACGATGGGGACTGAGGCCAGGCTGGAGCAAGCTGCTCGTGGGTGTTTTCCTTTTAGTGTGGGAGGAGCAAAACCCCAGAAACTGGTACTGCTTTGGGGCAGCTACCTCTACAAAGGGCTCTCCCTGATGGCGAGGCCCTGCGTGAGCCAAGCCTGGGCGGCTGAAGAGGAGAGGCCGGTGGGCTCAAGGCCAGACCGGTGCCTTATCTGGAATGTGGGGCAACGGAAAGGAAACTTGGGCTGGGTGATCCCCCCCCTCCACCTCCCTCCGTCCCTCTGTGTAAGCAATCCAAGGACTGGAAGTGCCAATCCATTAAAGGGCAAACAAGATCCCGGCTCCAGATGGGGGGGGGCAGAAGGCTTCTCGGGTGCATTAAAGACCCTCCCCCACCCCTCAGCTGGGCAACTGCTTGCAGGGGGAAGGGCTCCTGCTGGCCAGAAGAAACTCCCTATGCCAGTGCCATTTAGAGCGGGGGTGGGGTGGGGTGGGGGGTGTTGTTTGGACCGTATTTTGGTTGGCAGTTTCAGGTTTTCCTAATGCGGTGGCTTTCCTCTCCCCTCCAGTCAGGTCTGCCGATTGCCTGGGAGGGGAGCCAGTTCTGGGCAGCCCCGACCTCCGAGTGCTGGTGGATGGAAACGTGGTGGCGGTGCGGCAGCACTACAGGCAGGCGCGGGAAAGGCCTTCCAGGGTGCATGCCAGAGATTCCAGAGGGATCCAATCATCGGCCTCGGCTGTCCTGCAGAACAAAGGCCCCCCTTCTTCGCAGGTGAGCCGCTTCTGCCCTCGGGACAGCACAGGTGGCAGGGACGCCATGGCAACCCTTCTGCCTCCCTGGGCGGTTGCGGTGGAAACTGTGCTAATGGAGCACTGGGGCTCTGCCCAGGCAGGTGGAATGGGGGGGGCACTCCCCTGCAAGTGGGGGAGGCTTCTACCTGACTTATGGAGGAAGAGGGTTTGGACTGAAGGTGCGCTGGGCAGGCACGCTCCCAAAGAGTCTGCTGCGTCTTCAATCCAAATTGTACATCAGCATTGAAGTTTCCAGTATTGTGTAATACTTTGGCTGTTGTTGGACTACAATTCTCAGCATCCCCAGCCAGCACAGCTAATTATAAAGCAGGCTGGTGTGGTGTGTGCGAATTCGAATTCAACAGCATCTGTAGAGTGACAGCAGCAACATCATTATAGCATGTGGATTTTGAGCAAAAAATTCTCAGGTTTTCCTGGACTTCATTTCTCAAACGAATCACAATAATAGATTACTAAATAAATGTTCATAAAATGCAAGGATTGCTCAATGAAAGTCTTCGTTTGCATTTTCAAGTGCAAAGAAATTCACATTTTTCACGGAATAACAATAATTGTTTGATTCATCCCGTCTTCTTGTCGCCACCTTTTGAAAGCATCTTTAAAAAGGAAATGGTTCTAAATATCCTATTAAAATGGCTCTGCATACTGTACCTCAGTCCACATAACAAGATGAATTCTTAGCTTTATATCCTTATAAAAAGTGCACGGAAGTGGGAATTCTCCTGCTCACAGAAATGTTTGTATGTTTCTATTTTCGTTTTCTTCTGCACCCCAGTTCCTTGGGTCTGTAACTCAGGTTGAGAACTGAGGTGGCAATGGGGCGCCTGGCCAGCTGAGCTCAGAGAGGCCTCGGACTGCCCGGTCAGCAGCTGTAGACCACGGCTGGAGAATGACTGTCCTTGGGCAGTGGGGGCGATGTTGGCCTTGGGGGCCAGGGGGCTTCTGGTCGGGGTCTTGTTTGCTGCACCCTCAGAATGGCCTTCGTTCCCATGGGGCAACTCCCTGCATAACCTGCCGGAGCTTTTCTTTCAGGAGGAACCGACGGCTGCCAAGCGGATGGAATGGCCAAAGTTCCCATCGACCCTGAAGCGGCGGAAGCGAGACTGGGTGATCCCTCCCATCAGGATGCCTGAGAATGAGAGAGGCCCCTTTCCCAAGAAGCTGGTTCAGGTGGGTGGAATCTGGGAGGGAGGATCTGGCTTTGCCCACCTGTGGGGGGGGGGCGCTGGCTTTTCTGGATCAAAAGCCCATCAGCCCAGAGCTGCATCGCAGCCCGTGCAGAGATGGTGCCAGGCTGGGCAGGGCCATTTGGGGAGGGGGGGAGGAGATCACTCTCCTGATGGATCAAGCTCCCTTTTTGGGGGGAGGGTGGCCAACAAATCTAAGATGACCCTTTCTTTCCCTGCCTCAGATCAAATCAAACCGGGATAAGGAAACCAAGATCTTCTACAGCATCACTGGGCAGGGGGCCGACACCCCCCCAGAAGGCGTTTTCATCATCGAGAAGGAGACGGGGTGGATGAAGGTGACGCGGCCTCTGGACAGAGAGAGCATTGAAAAATACCACGTAGGTGGTCCTGGCTGAAGCTATGATGGGGGGGGGGGGGGGGGACTTCTGGCATTCCAGACTGGTTTCCCTCTTTCTGCAGCTTTTATCCCATGCGGTCTCTGAGAACGGCAAACCGGTGGAGGAACCGATGGAGATCATCGTCACGGTCACCGATCAGAATGACCACAAGCCGAAGTTCACCCAGGAGGTTTTCCAGGGCTCTGTCATGGAAGGAGCAACCCCTGGTAAAGAGGGGGAGATTTTGTGTGGGGGCAGCAGAAATTCAGCCCCAGCAGCCGGAAGGGGGGGAGAGTCCGTAGATGCTGCGCAAACCCTGCTAGGATTGTGAATGGGAATTCAGGAAGAGGTGTGTGAGTGTGCTGCATTGCACAAAATGGGAAGGAGAGGTGAATTATTCCAGGTTGAGCCTGGAGTTGCCTTAACCTCGTCTTCTCTCCTGACACAAGTGAAGCTTCCTTATCCTTCAGCCTCCCCAGCTCAGACGGAAGTCGGGGGATCACTTTGCTTTTTTTTTTTTAATCAAGTTTTATTAATTCCCCCCCCCACACCCACATATTTTATGAACAGGTATTGGCGTATCATATCTTATACAACGTCATATCCAAATACATTTTACTTAGTTACAATTTCTGCCAAAATATTCTCTTTCCATATTTTTAATATCTTAATATTTCTATGCTTATGTATATAAACAACATATTCTTTTAATTTTTTGATAATTCATTCTTTATCCTAATACACTTAAACATGTTCAGGGTTGCCTTTCTTCCATTTCATCTTTTTTGTTTTACAGCAATCTTCTCTTTCTCTTCTCTTTCCTCTCCCTCCCTTCTTTTATCCTTCCTACCTTTTTCCATCCTCTCCTATTCCTTCTCTACTTCCTCTTCCTTTCTCCCCCTCCTCCTTTCTTCTCCCCATCTAACCTTCTCTCCTACTCTTATTTCCCCTCCCTTTCTTCCTCTCCTCTTCCGTTTCTTCTATTCCTCTCTCTCCTTCCCCTTCCATCCATCTCCCTACTCCTTCCATCTCTCTCTATTGCTGTAGTCATTTTCAATTCCATATTTTTCACTATGGTGTCCAGGCATCCTCGGGGGATCACTTTTGTGGGCACTCCTCCCTGTCCCAGTAGGAGGAGGGGGGCTTTCCCAGGGGGGAGGTGGCTATCTCCAATGCACCACCTTTTGGCTGAGGGAGGCGACTTCAAGCGCTGGGGCAGAGCCCAGGCGCCCCAGCCGGAGAGGTGGCAAAGCTGGGCCAGGCAGGTCACTATCTGGCAGCTTCACATGGGCGTCTGCTCCCTTTCCTAGGGACATCTGTGATGCAGGTCACAGCCACCGATGCGGACGATGCCATCGAGACCTACAATGGGGTCGTTGCATACTCCATCCTGAGCCAAGCGCCCCAGGAGCCCCATCCACAGATGTTTGCCATCAACCGAGCAACGGGGACCATCAGTGTGATCGCCAGCGGCCTGGACCGAGAGGTAAAGGCAGGGCTGGGGGGGAGAAGCAAGCCGCCTCCTCCTCCTCTCTGGCCAACCTGGCTGCCCCCGGAACTCTTCTCGGGTACAGCCGGATTGGGAAGGGCCCTTCCTTGGAGGACGCTGGCCCCCTCAGGCGCTAACTGGAGCATTTTCTCTTCCCAGCGAGTGAGGGAATACACCTTGATCCTGCAGGCAGCAGACCTGGATGGGCTGGGCTTGACCACCACAGCATCAGCAGTGATAGAAATTACAGATGCCAACGACAACGTGCCCGAGTTCACAGAGTCCATGGTAGCTTCTTCTGCAGAGGCCGGGAACTGGGGGGGGGGGGCTTCCTGGGAACAGGCCAGGTTGGACAGCACAGAAGCTCAGCTCCCTTCCCTTGGCTTACGGCACAAGCAGAAACTGGCAGTTGTGTGAAGCTGCAATTGTGAACTGGGACTGAAGGTCAAGCAAGCCAAGTCGTAGCTTAGTATGAGGCTTGAATCTAGATTACGGTTTGCTGTGATAGGTGTGCAGACTTCACAGGGTGCCTGCATAGTTAAGGTGTTTCCACCTGCCCTTGTCTGTACCTCACTCCCTCCTCCTCCCCTCCAGCCTTGGCGAAGTTGATGCTCTCCCTCTTAGATAGCCAGGAGGGCTGATGGCTCCCATATTGGCTGGGTGGGTGGGTAGCAGTGCCTCTCCTCAAGCCCCCTGAGCTGCCAAAGGATTGGGAGGGGAGTTGGTTATCCTTCAGGCTCTCAGTTGGCTGCTTGCCCCTCCCTCAGTATTCGGCAGAGGTGGCGGAGAACCTGGAAGGTGTGGAGGTGGTGAGGCTGGCTGTGACCGACAAGGACGAGCGCCATTCTCCTGCCTGGCACGCCGTGTACGGCATCGTTCAGGGCAACAGCGGAGAGCTCTTTTCCATCTCAACGGATCCAAAGACCAACGAAGGAATTGTGACAACAGCAAAAGTAGGCGCAAACACCAGCTCCTCCCATGCACAAGCTTGTGCGTGTGTGTGCGTGTGCAAAGAGGCACTGGCTGGGGAATTCTGGGAGTTGAAGTCCACACAACTCATAGTTGTCAAGGTGGAGAGCGACTGCTTTAGCCATTGCTGAGGTGGCCGGATGAGGCTTGTTCCCTCCCTCAGCTGGGCAGTTGCATCTTCTGACGAGGTTTTTCCGTCTCCCTGTTTAGGCGCTGGACTTTGAGACGAGAAAGCAGTTCGTTCTGCAGGTGGCAGTGGCCAACGAGGTGCCCTTTGCGGTGAAGCTGCCCACCTCGACAGCCACCGTGACCATCAACGTGATGGATGCGAATGAGGCCCCCGTCTTTGCACCCCCAGTCCTGAAGGTGAAGGTCTCGGAGGACAGCCCGGTGGGGCAGAAAATTGCCACCTACAGGGCGCAAGACCCAGACACGATGCAGCCCCAGAAAATCAGGTGAGCTGCTTCGCTGAACAGCCAAGGAGGGTCCCCCCCTCAAGAGGCGGGGAGGAGTAGAGGGGTAGATGCTTGTGAAGACACCTCAGGGTGGAGGGACCCACAGCATCTGCAGCTCCTGGGAAGAGGCTACCTGGGCAGGTGGGGGTACCATCCCCCAGCAGCACAGCAGCAGCAATTGGGGCACCAAGGGTCCCATTCTTGGAAAGGAAGGTGGTTGGGGCAGGGAAGAGGAAAGGCTGGATGGGGGCAACCGGGGGGGGGGGGGGCAGATGTGATGGAGTGTCTGTATGGGAGAACTGAAGGCGGCAACAGCCTGAATTCCATGGCAAGCAAGCAGATTCTTGAACTCCCCGAGGTTGGTTAAGAGGTGCAATTTTTCCACAGAAGAACTTCCAGGCTGCTTCTCTAAATAAGGGCCGCTCCAGCTGCCTCTTTGGCTTCTCTGGTTCCACTTTTCTCCCCTGGCACTTTCTGCAGCCCCTTTTCTTCCACACCTGCCAGCCCAGCCCCAATTAGGGTTCAGTTGGTCTGGGAGCCATCAGGGGCTCAGCTCTATTGCAGCCAAGCCTTTCTCTTCCAGGCCCAGAGGGTCCCCAAAGTCTCCGTCCCACCTCACAGCCAGCACCCCTCCCTTCCTCAGCCTGGATCCGCTTTCCCTCCAGGTACTTGCTGGGGAATGACCCTGCCCAGTGGCTGGATGTCCACCCGGAAACCGGCATCATCACTGCCAAGGCGCCCCTGGACCGGGAATCCCCCTTCGTCCAGAACAACACCTACACGGCTATCGTGCTGGCGGCGGATGATGGTAAACCCTGTGGGCGGATGAGGGAGGGCCCCCCCGCTCGTACCTCCCCCCCCTCCCAACTCGTGGCTGGGCAATCAAGTGCTCCTTTGTTGAGCTGAGTGGCGGCGGCTGCTTGAGAGCTGCCCATGTGAGGGGCACATGGTGGCCGGTCATGAGAACCAGGCTCCCGGAGGGGAGGGTGGGTGGTCCCTGCTCCTCAAGAGCTGCACAGAGAGAAGACCACGCCCACCAGGGGGAACATCCTGCAGGGGGCCTTGCCCCCCAAGATCCACCTTCTACTGATTCAGACTAAGCTGTGATGCCCGACTATGCCCCATTCTGTCTGCTGTTCGCCATGGCCAAGGCGGGGGACTTGCTGGGCAGACAAAGCAGCCTCCGGAGGCACAGTAGACTGGATGCCTGCAGGAGCCTTGGGGGAGAAATGGGGCAAGATGTGGCGGGAGGTTTGGGGGCTGTAGGGGTGGAGAAGTGGGGCCTTTGAAGAGAAACAGCCTGAAGCTTTTCAAAGCAGCTGTTGTGCCTCTGTATAATCTAGTTTGTGAGGCTGTTCTGTTTTAAACATGGCTCCCCCTCCCCCGTACTCTGCCCCCAGGAAGCCCCCCAGCGACAGGGACAGGGACACTGCTGCTGACCCTCCTGGACGTGAACGACCACGGCCCAGAGCCCGACCGGCGGACGTTCACCGTGTGCAACCGCGATCCAGCCCCACAACTGCTGCGCATCTCGGACAAGGACCTTCCACCCCACACCTCCCCTTTCCAGGCGGAGCTGATCCACAACTCGGAGGAGAACTGGGCGGTCGAGATGGACAGCGAAGGTGGGCTGCTGCTATGGCCTCCTGGGAAATGGGCACTGACCTGACTTCCAGGAAGCTCGACCTCGGCGCCATCCGGCCCTCGTGTCCTCTGCCCTCCTTTCCTGGGGCATCTCCCGCAGTCCGCCAGGCGGGTTGGCTCCCCTAGGAGGGAGGAGAAGCAGCCCGTCCCTTTCTCCAAAAGCCCAGGCTGGCATTGGGTCTGACCACTTCCTGACTGCTTCAGGGGAGACGGCCATCCTGAAGCTGCTGAAGCCCTTGAAGCGAGAGACCTACGACGTCTACCTGCGCCTCCTGGACCAGCCGGGCAAGTCGCACCTGACCATCCTCAGGGCAACCGTCTGCGAGTGCGAGGGAGAGGTGGATGAGTGTCCGGAGGGGCAGATGGCTATCGTTGGGGCGCCCATCATCCTTGCCGTCTTGGGGGCCGTTTTGGCCCTTCTGAGTGAGTATGCACAGGGCTGCCCTTGGGGGGATGGGTTTCCCCTCCCAGGTGGTAGAGCCACACCTCAACCTAGACACTCTTGCGAGGCGCAGAGCCTGGTCTTCTCGGGCCATGTGAAGAAGCCTTCGGTTTGAATTACTTCTTCATACCACCGGCATAATACTGAGGACTAGAACCATGGGTTCTCAGGAGAATGGCGGTTGGGTCTTGGGAAGCTCCACTCCCTCCCTTGGCCGCAACTTCAGCGGAAGCGCCCCCTGATCCTGGCCGGATTCTGTGTTCCAGTCCTGCTGCTGCTGCTGCTGCTCTTCGCGAGGAGGAGGAAGGTGGCGAAGGAGCCGCTGCTGCTGCCGGAGGACGACACCCGGGACAACATCTTCTACTATGGCGAAGAAGGAGGGGGCGAGGAGGACCAGGTGCAGGGGGGGGCAGGGAAGGGCCGAGCATCCGCTTGTGATTGGGCCTGGGGGTGCGAGTTTTGCCCAGGATCAGACTGCTTTGGAGGTGGGGGAGCTTCTGAGTGAACCCCCCTCCCTCGGCCAACCGGCTCCTCCTTCCCTCCCTCAAAAGGACTATGACCTCAGCCAGCTGCACAGGGGCCTGGACCCCCGCCCAGAAGTCCTCCTGCGGAATGATGTGGTGCCGACCCCTTTGCCAGGCCCCCAGTATCGCCCCCGCCCTGCAAACCCTGATGAGATCGGCAACTTCATCTGTGAGGTAAGGGAGGCTGAGTGGCAGGCCAGGCCCTGGCACCCCCAGCTCTGCTGCCTTGGGGGTTGCTGCCCTCCGAGTGGATTGCCCAGCTGGATCTTCTGCCCACTGTAAACAGGCAGAGCCGCCCAGGGTCACAGAGTGTGTGTGTGTGTGATACATTCAGTAAAATCATTAAGGACTCTAGAATCAGCTGAACCCCATTTTAAGGCTGATATTGTAGCTTCTGGGTTTCCCCTACAGCACCAAATTTGGAGTGGGTCTTGGGGCTGCCTTTGCCTCTGGCTGGCCCTGCCCAGATTAGCTGGGATGAGGAATCATCTGAAGTTCTAGATGCGCCCCTGCCCCACAAACAGGCGCCCCACGCTTCCTCCTTTTCCACCCAGAACCTGAAGGCTGCTGACCTGGACCCCACAGCGCCCCCCTACGACTCCCTACTGGTCTTCGACTACGAGGGAGGGGGCTCCGAGGGGGGCTCCCTCAGCTCCCTCAACTCCTCGGCTTCCGATCAGGACCAGGACTACAACTACCTGCACGAGTGGGGCAGCCGCTTCCAGAAACTGGCAGACCTCTATGGGGGAGGCGTGGCCGACTAGGGGCTTCGCCCTGCAGCCATACCCCTCCGCGAAGCTGGGCTGATCGGCGTTGCTTGGCCACCCTGACCACCATGGCACGTTGGAAGCAAAAGGGGCTGCTGCGGACTTTGGGGGGCTCCAGGAGACGAACCTTTGACCATCTTGGCAAAGGGGCAGCTCCGACTCTGCTTCCTGGGCAGAGGGCAAAGGTGTCTCTTGAGGGGCCTCTGTCCTCAGAGGGGACCTGGCTGCAGGTCGTGAAGTCTTCACACTGCACCTCGGTCTGGGACTGCCCTGCTGCCAGGAGCTGGAGGTGCTGCCCAACACAGGCCTGGCGGGGGGGGAGGGAGAGAGAGAGAGGCTGCTGGATGATGCCCCCCCTCTGCCTTCCTGACCTCCTCTACTCTCATGTATTGTAGCTCAGTTAAGACTTGATTTCTTTCCTCTTTTTATAGCATGTGTGAAATAACTTGATGATCACTAAAGGGCTGGACAATCAGGATGTAAAGTTTTAATAAAAGCTTTTTTTTAAAAAAAGGCACAACAAACCCGTGTCATGTTTTCTGGGGGAACCAAGGCTGTCCTGTGCCTGAACCGCAGCCACTCTTAGCTGTTGCCAGCCTCCCCAAAACAACCTAGGTGGGGCAGAGGCTTCTGGCTCCTGTGCTCTGGCCCTCCCCAAACCCTCCCTCCCTGCCTGCCTCACCTCTCCAACTCTTGTCTGTCATTCCCACCCCAAGGCTGCAGCCCTCCCAGCCGCTCTCAGCTCTTCCCTACTGGGGAATTGCAGGTTTTGCAAAGCCTCCGAGAAGGAAGAGAAGCCAGAGCTGCAGCTGTTCTCGGGCTCCTGCCTGAAGCCACCCTTCCCACTCTGGCCTGGCTGGGCAGCGATTCTTGGGCCCTCTGGAGGGGCAGCTGCTCCAGGGCGCCCTGGCACAAAGGCTGGCCTGGCCCCCCAGAGAAGAGGCGGGAAGCGGCCCCTCGCCTCCCCTCCTGCTGGCTCCTGGCCCTTGGCTGGCCGCCAGCTCCGCGCTCGCCCGACCGGTTTTTCCTGCCTGAGCCTCGGAGGGGGCGGCCAGCAGGCCGGGCCGAGAAGGGCCAGGATTGCAACGGGAGCGCAGCTGCCCCACCGCCCTGCCCGCGAGTGGATGCCCGATGCGGCAAGTGCAGACCAAAGGGCCGGGCAGTTCCGGGGGCGCCTGGGTCACCCACCGGCTGGGATTTAGTCCGCAAACCCGGCTTAACGCGTGGCGCGCCTCTGGCCGCTACGACGGTCCGGCCATTGCCGGGCAGCCCAGCGGAAGCTTCCGGGCTGGCGAGCGCTCCTCCGACGGCCCCTCGGCCCCTTCCCCGGGCGGCAGCGGCGCAGCTCCCCGCGGCTCTTCCCAGGCGACCCTCGCCCAGGAGCCCCGGGCTGCCCGCGGAAGCCGCCCTCCGACCAATCGAGCAAGCTGGGAGGAGGCGTCCTGTCCCTGCTCCGAAGCGGCCGCTGAAGCCTTTGCCTCGCCGGGCCCGGCAGCTAGAAAGGTAGCGCGCAAGGGCTGCTCCGCCCCCGCCCCCGTCCGGCCGGCCGGCCGCACCTGCCGAGCCCGCGGCGCAAGAGCGGGTGCAAGGCGAGGCCGCCGGGCGCCGCCCCCTGTCCCTGGGGCGGGGCTTCCAGCGCGGGCGGAGCCTCACCTGCCACAACCGGAGCGGCAGCCTGGCCGAGGCAAAGTTTGCGGGCTTGGCGACCGCGCGCACCTCCTCTGGCTGCGATGGGGACCCAGGCGGGGCTCGGGCTGCTGCTGCTGCTGCTGCTGCTGCTGCTCCAGGTAAGACGGGGCGGGACTCTTCGGCTTAGCCGCGTTGGGGACCCTTCCGAGGCAGCGGCTGATGGGTCTCTTCCCCGCCTTCTTTTCTGGGCTCCTCTTCCCCGCCCGCCTCGACCCCGAAACCTTTGTCCGCTGGGAGGCTCCCCCCCGGACGGTGGGATCCCTTCGCAGGGCTTTGCCCCAGTGAGGGGCTCCTGGGGCCTGGCAGTGGCCGAGAAGGGGCTTCAGACCCCCGGTTCCTTCTCCATGGGCTTCCTCCGGATGAGCGGGTCATGGGAACAACTGGGCCACTTGGGCTGTGTGCTCCCCACCTCCCCTCACTCTCGTCTTTGCCTCCCCAGGGTGAAAAGGGGCTCAGCAAGGATGGGGCAGGGGCCTCTTGCCGGCCAGGATTCAGCTCGGAGGCCTACGTGTTCCGGGTGCCCAGGCGGGACTTGGAGAGGGGCCGGATGTTGGGCAGAGGTGAGACCCTCTGAGATGCTGGTGGCTGCCCAGTCTGGGTGGGGGGGCCGAGGGAGAGAGTGACTGGTGCTCCCCCCTTCCAGATAAGAGGGCATCTTGTGCTGTTACTACTGCTGCTGCTGGGTGCCTTGGAGGAAGGAGAGGAGATTCGGGTTGTATTCAGATTCCTTCTCCATTTCCTGATTTCTGAAAGGGAAAGTGGCAGCTCTTTGGGGAATCTGTAAAATGGGTGTGTCGACCACTCAGGGAAGCATTAAAAGTGGGAGTTTCTGTCCGGAAGGATGAATTTCAATTCTTAAAAAGCTCATTCAGCTCCATTAGGCCGAGCACTTCATGCATGAGGGTTGATTATACTGCTTACTTATTTATTTTGTTTTTGTTTTTATTGTTTTTTTTGGTAAAGTTTTTAAATAATATTGCCATCCATCTAGAATTCTGTGCAATGGGGCAGCTTGGAAGTACCCTGTTTCTCCCAAAATAAAATCTCCCCTAATAATAAGCCCAATCGGGCTTTTGAGCGCATGGCGATAAGGCCAAGCGCTTATTTCAGGGTTCAAAAAAATATAAGACAGGGTCTTATTTTCGGGGAAACACAGTATTTCCAAGAATAATTTCCACCTCCAGAGTTGCTGTCTTTTTATTAGTGGCTTCAATACATCGGTTCTGGTTTTAAACCTTGTAAGATGCCCAGATTTGTTGCAAATAAATAAAAATATAGTTGTGCTAAGAAGTTCCCAGAGTTCCTGTCTGGGGCAGTTTAAAATGTCAGAGGAAGGCCCCCGGCCGTGGCCCTTGGCGGCAGCCTGGGGAAGGAAGAGGAAGCCTCAGACTTCTCCCGAAGCGAGCTCCGTGGTGAGACACCCCAAGAAAGCTGAACTGATATTTCCAGTTAAGGCCGAGTGACAGAGATGGCCGGGAAGCAGCCTCCCTGCTGTCCTTGGAGCCAGGCACGGGCTACCTGCGTGGCTCAGGTAGTTTCCACCTGGCCTTTTCCTCCTTTGGCAAAGCAAGGTGGAGCTTGGCAGGAGGGTGAGGCCTGCGTCTCCTTGCAGCTGTGCAGGGTTGGGCCTGCACAGGCGCTGTGGTGAGTGTGTCGGTGTGTGCGTACGAGCACACAAGCACTGTTTGAACTCTGATGGTCGCTTCTGGCTTCCTGCTGGCACTTCAGCCGTTGGGGTGAGCCTGAGAGGAGGTGGCTGCCCCTTGTGTTGTGTCAACAGCCTCTGGTGAATCATTTACTTGGCTGAGCTGCTCTTCAGATTTTTCAGCCCTGCTTCAAAAAGTCCCTCTGAGCTGACCTTGCCTCTTGGCACAAACCCCCGAGCAGGGACCCAGCTGGCTTCCCAACCCAACCTCGGCCTGGCCCTCCCCGTGCAACACTTGTTGGCGCTGGCTTTTTGATCTGGGCACTTTCCCTGTTCACATCCGGTGCCCGAGGCAGCAGCCACAGAGCCAAACCATAACTAGGGAGTTAATTCCAGACCAAGCCTCTCTGCTGCTCTCAGTGCATCGCGTTAGGATTATTTCATTCCGTATGCATTTTTGTTTTCGGGAATCCTTAACGCCAGCTTCTTTAACAAGTGCCCAGAAAAGGTTTCCTACATGTGTTTTGCTAATTATGAGGAGCAGAATGTTGCAGGTATGGGAGGAACAATTCAGAAAGATCTTCAGGTGGCTGAGTTGCTGATAAATGTGAAATGAAGAATCTACACCGAAGAGAAACTGAGTGGAACATTATAACCGTCTTCTGGTAATTAGCATTGCGCTAATTTTGAGGAGACCTTGGATTAGTTTTCACATAGCCAGACTCTGAAAGTGCAACTGTACTCGGGGTCAAAGAATGGCAAGTGCCTGAAACTGGCTGCTAAATGCATCACCACCTCAGAATGCGGCTTGTTGCTGGCTGACCTGAGGTGCTTTTTCCAAGGGGCAACTGGACCCTCTTGGTTTTTTCCTTTGGAAACATTCCGCTTCTCATCTAAGAAGCTTCTTCAGTTCAGAACTTCAAAGTTCTGAATTTTCAAAGAAAAAGCCAAGAAAGTCCAGTTGCCTTTTGGGGGGGAGGGCAAAAGCGCCTTTGGGACAACCATGAGCTGGAGGGCTGAGCATCTCCATACACATTTAAGGCCTGGCCTAACTGTAAGAAAAGTCACCCAAACCAGTCTTCCCTCGGCTCGCCTTCCTGTGAAAGCATCCGGGATGCCTCTCATCCTCTAGGCAAGTGGGCTTCACTCAGGAGCTTGGGGAGAACCTGAGATCTGCCAGAGGTTAGTCCTGGTCTTGTGAAGCAGATTCAGCTCAGGGTCTCCTTAGGGCAAACACGGCAGGAGGGAACAAGTGATCGGTTTCCGGTCTCGGTGGTGGAGGATGCAGAAGGCTGCAAAGGTGCCATGAAAGGAAAGGAGTCCAGAGTTTCTATTCTTTGTGGGGCTGAGAGGAGGGAATCCCTCCAGCGAAAAGTGAATATTGTTTTATTATAGCACTTGTGTCTCAGTTTTAACACTTTAAAACTTCTTTACACAAGGCCCCCTTCTGCATAAAATAATACTACCAAAGCATAACATACTTTGGTAGGTTGTCCTTAGTTCATTTCTTTCTGAGAAGCTTTGGTTATTCAGTGGCCTCCATGAACGAAAAGAGAGGCTAAACCAAGTTAAACTACAAGAGATTGTCCATGAAACTACTTACACGCCCACTTGGGTGCTGACAAATGTCCTGTCTGTGCCTAAGAATTTTAAATATTTTCTGGGCTGCCTACAGAACAAAGGCATGAAACATTTTCCAGCGTTCTAAAGTTTTCATGGATAATTCTGGAGGCCTTTAAGCCTGTGTGGATCATCTGCAGAAACAGCATTGTCAAAGCCACCCAGCAGAGCAAAACTCGTCTAGTTGGTTTTGCCTGGTTCATCAGGTGTTCTACCAGCTCCTCTACCCAGATGCCTTCCAGAAGTGCTGGAAAGCCTGGGAGTTGCACGTAGCTCTGAATGAGGGGGCAGAAAAATTGGATACAGGGCAACCGTACATCTGGACGTAGCAACCGAGGGGAAGAGGGCTGATCTAAAATGATGATGCATCTTCTATTTTTCAAGCCTTGTATTTGTGAGAGTAAGTCTCTAGGCCGGCATCGTGTTGGCCTGCATACTCTGATTTGTGTACTGCTTGGTATTAGAAGAGAGGAGAGCTTTCTGTTAAGGTTCCCTTTAACCAGCCTTTGAGGCTACCTGCATCTGCAGGGACCTTTATTTGGACGTATTCCCCATTCCATAACTAC